TGTTAGTTCTTTTATCCGTTGTCCCTTCGATGCTGACCCCCTCTGTAAAACCCGATTTTCCGAATAAAACCCGATTTTGTTCGACCTTAGGCAATCGGGTTTTATGTTAAAACCTGAAAAACTCAATTGCAAAAAACCAGTTTCTTGGTTGAGCACGATTCACACGTCACAGTCGTCTAGCCAATCAGGTCATGGCCAGGGTTGTAGCCATCGCGATCAAGGTGGGGGGGAGAAGCGGATGGGATGCATCTGCATGAGAGCTACCCACGCTGTCGTCGCGGCGCTGCGATGCGTTGAACAGAGTCGAATGGAGGCACAGAGTTGCTGTCGCCGTAGCCGATGCCCACGTAGCACTCGTGGCAGCTCTACTCCCGTCCATGCCCGTCCCAGTCCGTTTCGCAGATGTGAGGACCATGGGTCCACTACCGCCGCTTTGCTGATTGCATGTAGCTGTTGGTTGGCACTGCACTGTCGAGCGTCCCGATGAGGCACCATGGATCCTGTGGCTGCTACTCGATGTGTTGCACTTGTGCTGAGGTCGAGCGACTTGGCTGTTGAAGCCGATGTGAATTCCGAAGTGCATTGTGGGTTAGACTGCTATCGTTCTAATCCTTCTAATCACCCAGCGAGCGCGATTGGTCTGCGCTCTTCATCTATCGTTCTACATGTATCTCCACAGCAACCTTTGGCTGTGGACAGGTTGTCGTTCATGGTGTCGTCGGGGTTCGTGCTTTGTTCAAGTGGGTTGGTCTTCCAGGGTCGTCGTGGCCGCTGTCGTGTGTCAACATCCTCAACAGGATGGAGACCACATGTCGTTGATAACTCTTTGCGATACGTACTAGTACTTCTCAACAGACATAGCGCGCCGCCTACAGCTCGCCAGCTCGAGTCGACGTTAAGATGCGGTGGCCGCCCGTGGCCGCACTGTCTGGCTCCATGTCGTCAATGGCATCGGCATCACTATCCAACGAATCCTCGTCACTGACATCGTCGTCACAGTCCAAGTCTTGGTTTTGGTCGCCAAGGTCACCCGACGTGCCGTCACTATGCAAAATGTGGTCCAGAGGGTCGTTGTGCGTGGTGGCTTCGCCGTCGGCTTCCAGCAAGGCGTGGTGGGTGCTGCTGTCATTTTCAATGTGCACCACGGTGCTGGTGCTCTGTGCTTTCTGCGTTGTCGTGACGACAACCGAAGCGACTGTGCCGACAACGGCCAACGCCAGTACCAATCCAAACGGTCGCTTTTCTACCACGATTTCACGCGACGTGCGGTCGCCCATGGGCGCGCGGCGTCCATCGCCGTCGTCCAGGTGCGAGGTGGTTAGAATCGACTGGTTTTCCATTGCCACTGCAACTTGGACACTGCGAGGACGACGCGGCAATTCGCGACAACGCCATGTGTACGTCGATCGTGGGTAGGCGGCACATGTCTCGGGTTCGGTCGGGCTTTTGCTGACAACTTGTCGCTCAATTCCAGCCGCGCGTTTGACGTGTGAAGTGGACGAGAGGATCGTCCGCAGCAGATTGTAGCGGTGTAGGCGGTCGACTGGCTGTGGTACTCTCGTTATGCTCTTGGACGGGAGCATTGCGCTCGATCAACGAGCTGCAGGGCTCGCAAGCAATGCCTATCTCTCGAGTGTGGAAGGAGATGTGGCCATCTCACGTACAGCGCCAGCGCATGAAGAACATCGCCTCGATCGATCGCGTCGCGGCGATGGTAAAGGAGACACTTGGCCCACAATGGTCGTTTCCATTAGTACATTTCCATTCAACTTGCCCTTTGTATACTGCATAGTCGGATTAGTACCACACCGCGATCAGCACCCTGCCCGAACTTTACCTACCGATTCCATTGCGGTAAGGTGGTCACTATGTGGAGTGCGACGCGATCGAAGTGGCGAGGCCGTTCACGGACGGTGCAAGACTCTGTGCTCTCCAAGCACAAAACTGTGCGCGCTCCAATGCCGTCCACACGACGGCTGCGACCAAGGAGACGGGTTATGCGGGTTATACTGCAGTAATTGGTCATCGAAAACCTGGCCCTTTTGACGAATCAGTGGTGCATAATTCAGTCGCACACTCAGCTCGACCAGACGCCGCCAGCACCACGGCCCAGCGCATAACTGAGCCAGACCTTTGCGCCACACGCAGCATGTCGACTCCAACGACCAGAGTGACACTGCGTCACAAAACGCGATGGAATCCGGATATGGTATCCGGAGTTTACCCTTGATAATCGAATAGATTTTCGATCCAACATCATGGCAAACAACAGCGCAGCAACGGTCGACTCGACAGAGCGCGAGACGCTTGCGCAGGAATGCATTGACCTCCTTGTACAGCATGGGTACCACCGCGCATCCGTCATTGAGATCCCGATCTTCGAGCGTGTCGTTGGGGGGCTCGTGTTTTGCCTCCAGAGCGAAGCGCTGACAACCGTCGACTGCGACATCTTGTTTCGCCCGGTGGCAACAGTGAAGGAGCGCGTGCGCGTAGCTGAAGCCATTTGCCACAGCTTCAATACGGCGCTCATGTCGTTTGCGACGGCAACCCCGTCGACGCCTTCGATGAAAGCGCTGACATTGAGTGTCCACGAGCTCCAAGGCGCCAACTACGCCAAGCTCAAGCTCGTGGTGGCGTGGCTCGTGCAGCACACACAAGTCAAGCTCAACACGCGCATCCAACAAGCCATTCTGACGCAGTGGAACGACCTCGGCACGACCTCCAGGGATTCCAGTGGGCAGCAGCAACGACGACTGCACGTGCCTTGGTATCGCGTCGCACGGCAGTCGAGATTTCGAGTTCGTTAAACTCCGTGATACCCAAGCTCATGACAAGGTGTCGTGTTGCTTGTAGCGCGACATGGCGGCCAAGACGGAGCAGGAGCGCATTCAACGATGTTTGCTGGAATACGGCGAAAAGCTAGCTGAGGCGCCGTCGATGGCGGCGTCCGAGGAAGCACGTCACGAAGACCAGGGGCCACGAACTCTGCTCAAAGACATTGCCAAGCAAGCAATGTTGATGCAGCATGAACGGTAGGACGTGCATTGATTTGAGTTACACCACAACAATGCGGTCAATGCTGGAGTGCACCAGCGGCGCCGCGGTTGGCAACAGTGGTGGCGACGTGACGACGGACGACTTTGACCGATTGTACAAGACAGCTGAACAAGAAGCAAGCGCTGCAGAGCAACGGGCACTTCAAGAGCAGCAGCGCCTCCAGGACGAGCTCTTGCAGCACGCTGCAACGACCCACGTATGGTCCAGACCAAGGCTTCGTCCATGAGGCAGCGGGGACAGCGAAATGTAACACTCGGATTTGGTGTAGGGCGATCAATGGAGCCACGCTGGCGTCAACACACAGGTGAGGTTTTACCTGCTTGGCTGATTGTTGGCGAGGGATCAAGTGGTCTGGTTGCGTTTGCGGTGGGCATGCTTGCGCCGAACGCACTGCATGCAAGTCGCTGACCGGTTCCTTTATAGACCCTCCAAGCTGCATCTCTCGTGTACGGCACCACGTCCGAAGCGATACGTGAGCATTTGAGGCAACAAGCTCAAGGCAACCCAGGATCGACGGCCGAGGCGTTTGGCTGGCTCGCCACCCAGCGAAAGCTGTCGCGGGACCGTGAACAGCTCATTCAAAAGGCCCGCGCACAAGTACGTTCGTTCAAGGCAATTCTGTTCAATACTGGTGTGGAAAGGAAGTGCAACTGGCCGCGGCCAAGACCGCCTTGCATGAAGTGGAGGAAGCGACGAAGCGCCTCGAGAGCGGCGAAGCCATGTCGTTGGCGTCGTTTCAAACGCTCGAGCGAAAACAAGAGCAGCTCGAGATGCGTGAAGCGGGCGTCGTCAACTCGCACGACCTGCTCCAACTTCGGGTTTGTTGAAATGAAGAGACTGCTCACAAGGACGATGTGGGTAGAGCCTTATCGCGCTCCACACGAACCTCAAGCTCCAGGAATCACAGTTTAAAGCGGCGTGCGCCGAGCAGTTGGCGGAGTTGCAGGTACGTCGTCGCCAGTCGCGGCGCTGCGTTTGGGGCCCCGGATGGACGGGGCCGAACACTCCTTCCGGCTCTGACTTCCTGGGTGAACCAGAGCCGGCGACAAGCGTTGACGTCGCAAAATGATGTGTCGGATGCCGTCGTGCAGGTGGAGCAGCAACATGAGCGGGCAACAAGCAAGGTACCAAATCGAATCGAGATCAGCTAACCGATGACGTGTTGGTGGCGCGTCCAGCGGAACGAGCTCAAGCGAGCAGTGGCCAAGGAATCCCAGGCGGTCGTGGCCGTCATGCGTAAAATCGACGACATTCCCAGTCGAAGCGAATTGATTCAGTACGAGAAGCGGTTTGCCGAGCTCTACGACGAGGTTGGTGTCGCTTTGTTCGTGGCCGATGCGGCGAGCGAAGCCGCGCCGTGCGTGCTGATTCTCTGCATCGGTCGTCATCCAGGTGGCCCTCACGCTTGACGAGACGCGAAAGTACTACTCGATCTACAACAGCCAAGAAACCACTCTCGAGTTCCTGGACAAGGAGGTCCGTTCGTCGGCGCAGGGCACGTCCGTGCCATGTCGCGTGAGCTCATGGGCTTGCCTGAGATGATTGTGGGCACGTAGGTGGCCCTCATCGACAGCATCAACGAGAACTTTGAAGTCGCCCTCGCGTCGCCCGATACAACCGACCTCTTTTTTGGTCAAATGCATACAATTATTGCCAACGTGCAAGAGAATGTGAAGAAGCAGGAAGCAAACGTCGCCGCGCGTCAGGTGGTCGTCGACACACTGGATAGCAAGTATCAACTGGTACGTTGTCCTGGGGGAGGTTGCAGGGCGCCGCTAACGATGCATCGTGGGGTAGCTCGTCGAGAGGCAGCAGGCGTACCTGGCGGCGATTCGCGAGTTTCAGAAAGAATGTGAGACGAACGCCAAGCTGACAAACCACATCGATACGCTGCGGATGACGGCTCCAGCCATGTAGCTGACAGCAAGAGCCGTGGCGGCTGCGCCGCATGCTCTAGCCACTTGGCGAGAGTGGCATGCAGAAGTCTGTGCCATCTAACAACCTCGTCATGTCCTCTCCCACCTGCTGGCTTGCTCAAGATGCACCTACAGGTGCATGGGACCGTGGCATCCTCGACGTTGGCGACGTACTGTGATGTGCGAGAACTTGTGGGCTTGGCTCTGCCGAGGCCGTGGACGTGAGCTGCAGCTAAATTTGTTTTTGTTGCAAGCACCGAGCATCGTGCGCCAATTGCGTCGCTGCAGATGCATCCATGGTGTGTGCGGCCGAAGGTCCGAGCGAATGGACTTGAGGCAAGTACCTCAACGGATACATCCACAGTGCCGTGGGAAGTGTCATCGACACGCAATGGACACGATCGCCGAGTGATCCAGCAGACGCAGCAGCCATTCCGCTAGGTCATTGCTGTGCGAGCGGCCATGAAAAATACACCTCGAACGACGTCGTGCACGATGGCAGCACGTGGTGTATGCAACCACTTCGACAGGTTGGACGACGGTACTGCTGGGGAGAACGAATGCTAAGCGCGTACAGGGCTACGATGCTAGCGACTTGTGCGACACGATGCGATGTCATCCCATGAATGACGTCGGGTGGCCTGGCAGACGTAGCAACAAGGTCAGGATTGAATCGAGCATGTTGGGGGTGGTCAAAATGCCCCCGACGCTACGTGGAAACGCCCCCTATTTCGTCGGCATGGGGGCAAGGGCCATGCTGCGATGGTGGTGCGGGATGTCTCCTCGAAGCATGGCATGGTCATGGGACGTGCGAAGCAGGACCACAATCGCGTCGAGAGTTGCTTGGGTTTTCTCGGCTTCTTCGGTCAGCCGCGCGTCGAGGCGCTTTTGCAACGCGTGGACTTGGCTGGTCAAGTCGCCCACGTGGTCGAGGCACTTTTCCAGCGCCCGTTCGATCTTGCGCACGGTGTCGTCGGTTGTGTCGTCCGCGTCCGCGTCGTCGTCCTTGACGTGCATCGTCTTGGCAAACGTGAGAAGGCCGTGGGTTTTGGTTTTCTTGGCCTTGGCCTGGCGCCGCGTTCGCAGCCGTAGCCAGTGCGGCATCATGATTTCGGCGCGCAGGATCGACTCGGCGTGATTCAACACGACTTGGTCGTTGACGCGCTCGAGGACGTTCTCGGCCGTCATGGACAGCACGGCCACGAACGCGTTGAGGAGCACGATAGCCACGACAAGGTACTGGAGCATGATAAAGACCGAGATGAAGAGCTGGCGGGGGTATTCGTTGCCGAGGACAACGTCCAGGTTGAGCTGGCCAAAGATAATCAAGTACGTTGTGAGGAATGTGTCGCCAAACGACTCGAAGCCTGCGCTGCCTTTGAGCAGCGCAAAGTAGGCGCACGTGAGGCCCATTTGAAACACGGCGTACATCATGAGAAAGTGCACGACGTCGGGCACCATGTTGAGCACCATCGTGATCATCGGCCCCGTCGACTCGTTCACGCGCAGGACGTGGAGAAAATTGATCCAGAGCAGCAAGCTCGTGACGGCGTACAAAATCGCTTGCCACTCGCCATGGCTGGCCATGGCAATCCACCCGAGATCCAACGGCGTTTCAAACACAACGATGCACCACAGCACCGCCGCCTTGACAAAGTGCCACTTGACGCGAACGTACCGCTTGGGCGACCCGCGGTACTCGAGCCCTTCGACCGCCAAGAATGCGACCGACAGGACCCACCGAATGACCAAGTTGATGTGGTAGAATGCCGTCGCGGCACTGGCCGTCGACTCGCCGATCGATTCAAACACGACGAGGGCCGCGATGGACGCCACCAACAGCGCCCCCGATGCCAAGACCGCTCCAATGCAAAACGCGACGACTTTATCCTTCAGTACGAGTCGTTTCGTGGCGAGCGACGACATGGCGTGGGGGCGGGGAGTGACTTGCCGCCGCAGCGTGGAATTCGAGCGCACAAAGGTGTAGGCGAGGCTCGAGCTGCGCCGCACGAGCGTGTCAGGCACAAGGAACGAAACCAATCGCGCACGCATCGACGGCTTGGGTGGGAGGCTCGCGCCGGCCCCGGGTCCCGTCATCTTGGCAGGGTTCAGAAAACTCGCGCTCTGCAGCGTCTTCTTCAGGTGGCGGTACCGCAGCGACGCGTAAATCGCGCCCGACGTAAACACAAACAACCAAGTCCATGCAAACACAAGCAGGCAGTACCGCGGCTTTGTGAATTCGACTTGCACATTCGACAGCGACACGCACATGGTCGTGGCAAACAGGAGGAAGATCGACCCAAACAGCTCGACAAAGTACATGGTCCTGCCAAAGCTCTAGCGGCACATGAGTGGCCATGATCGACGTTGCGGCACCGGACGGACCTTCCACTTTAAGTGCACGATGCGCGAGATCACGACGTGGCTGAGGCACGTGATGCAGTAGCTCCGCTTTTCCTTGTCGCCGCGGTTGTATGCTTCGACGATGCTCGCCAGCGCGCTCTTCTCGACGGCGTACGCGTCGCCGTACATGTCACCGAGCTACAAGCCCGTGGTCCACGCGCCCACGTTCGTCGGCACGGACATGGATGGCCAATACGGGCATACCTTTGGAAATGCCCATTCGGTGCGCCCGCAATTCCATGACACGGCAACTTTGAACCCGTCCAAGAACGCCCAGGCGTACTCGGGCGACTCGCGCAAGATCGAGGCAAACATGTCGTCGTTCCAAATCGGCTCGCGCTCGTGGTCGAGGTCCGTGTGGTTGTTGCGTGGCGTGTACTTGGCCAAGTTGAGGCCGTTGGCCAGCGGGATCGCGTCGCTCTCGAGCAGGAGGTTCAGCGGATACAGACCAAAATCGTCCTAGCCACACACACGCTGGCTAACCATGCGAATAATGTCGACGGTGCCGGGCGAGAGCACTCGGCCGAATGCAGCGACAGAATTGGTTGATGCAGGCGTCGGCCCGCTCGCACGTACCTTCATCAGCCCTGCGTGCCGCCCGGACCACGGATTTCCATTCAAGAGGACGTAGGCGTCGACGGCGCGGTTCGCGGCGGCCACATGGAGGGGCGTGCGGCCCTGGTTGTTTTTCGCGATCGCAAACCGGGCATACCCCCCGTCTTTGGTGAACGATTCCAGGAGATCCACGTGGTTGTGCATTGCCGCGTCGTGGAAGATCGTGTCGCCTGCCAGGTTGGGAACGATCAAGGCGCCGGCGGCGAGGAGCATGTGGACCGTGTCGATGTGGCCGCGTGTGGCGGCCATGTGGAGGGGCGTGCGCATGTTGCCGTTGATCGCGTTCACGTTGGTTCGTTTGTGCGTGAGGAGGTACTCGACAACGTCCTGGCGGTCGTTCTCGGCGGCATAATGCAACGGCGTGCGGCCATTTTTGTTGGGAATGTCAACGCCTACGTGCAAGTGCTCGACGAGGTGGCGGACGACGCCGAGCGTCCCCGCGCGCGCTGCGTCGTGCAGCGCAGTGCACCCGAATCCATCTGTCGCGAGCACATCCAAACCTTCCTTTGACAAGAGCTCGATCGTGGCGACGTGGCCCCCATGCGCCGCAGCGTGGAGCAGCGAGCGGTTGTTCGCACCCTATTCGAGCATCAATGCCATCGTGCGACGTCGCGCGCTCGAAGCGGATGCACACCACCTTTTCGTGGATGTGGACGCCGTCCCGAAGAAACTCGCGCACGACTGCGGACGTCAGGTTGGGGACGGTTTGCACAAGGTAGTGCAAGAGGGTGTCCCCAGGTCGAAGCGTCGACGACGCGTCGCCGCCGCCCGCATCGGGGGCCTCGTATCGAAGCCGCAGCGACGTCAAGTATCGAATCTCCTTGACCATATCGGCTTCGTCTCTAGCGCCAGCGACGGTGCCAACGCCATCCATCTGCACAAAACACGTACTTGTCCACAAGGTTTTCCCGAATCGTGGCAAACTCGTCTGCGTCCGCCAGCTTCCACTCGTGAACGACTTGGCTCAACGAGTCTTGAATCACGTCGAGATCGTCGACATCCTGGCTGTAGTCGGTCCGCAGGTCGGACACACTGTATCGAGCCCGGCGACTGGCCTTTCGCGCGGCCGCTTCGTCTTGGCTCATCACGGGGGCGACTGCCGACCCCCCTCCTTGCGCAGACGGCGGGCGCGTTGCGGGGACGTCGGCAAACGTGTGACACGATTGCATCATCCTCCGGCGGGTCCGACGGCCCGACACGACCACGCGATACCACTGCTGCAGCGCCTTGGCGACCTTCTTCTCGGGTGCCGACCCCGAGTCGTACAGCGCACGATACAAAATGCTCCGGTCGTTGTTGTTGAACCGTGGGTTGAACACGGCGAACCAGAGCTGGATGTGATGCGCTGCGTTGGAGAATCGCATGTGCTCCTCGGTCGACATCATGGTCAAGTACGTGTGCACGACGCGCATGCCGCCGTCCTCGTCCTCCATCATCGCGTCGCCGCCTTCGTTGGTGGGCGCGCGGCGTTGACCACCGCAGCCACTGTCCCGCGGTCGGAGAAACTCGCGCTCTGACGTGGCCTCGAACGGTTTCGCCGACGTGCGGGACCGTTTCGGAATCGGTTACGGTCGACTCCAGCATGGAAACGCACTCGACAAGCCTCCACAATTCGTACGACTGGGGAGACAGCGGTCCCGGTTGACGCGCGTTGCGACCTGCTAGCGCAGAACTTGAATGCCTTTGCCAGCGAGTGGCAAGACCTGCGGATTGTCGTGGATGCATGTGCTTGCGCAGCGTTCAATGCAAAGTGATGACGCATCGCATCGACGACAGACCGATGGCCCAGGTCAAGGTTGAACCAGCACAGGTTGGCTTGGCCATTTCGATAGCGACCTTTGTTTTTGCCCTGGCAGGGGTATGGAACCAAGTCGTGATGGAGAGTCGTTCGTGGTCGCTGGCGCATGGATGACGTTTGGATCGACGTGGTAGTTGTTTTCACACATGCATGGCGACATGAGCCGCTGCTGTGTGAGTGGACGTCATGCATACGTGAATCCTTTGCTTTGCCCGTTTGCGTACTCAGCACAAGGATGGAGCGTTGCCGTTCTTGTGTCGGCCAGCGATACGGGTCGCAAGAGTACAATGCCCAGTCATAGCTGCACGAATAGATTTCCCTTGCTTCGGATAAATGCTGACCATCGTCTGCATGCTGCATCCCCCCCCGCCATGACCCTCGCCTTCATAACGAGTGTCCCCTCAACGAAAGACTAATGTCTTCCACATCGAACGACATGAACTGCACGAGCTGCCTCGTGGTCAAGAGCATTCAACTGCCGACAACACTCGGCACGCTGTTTCGGTCCGCCCCGCGCAACTCCTGTGCATTGGATGACCGGTTGCTGTTGGAGGCGCCGAGGTAACATGGAGAGTTTTGTGGGGTCTGTATGTCATGGATGCGTTGGTTTGCCCAGGCCTTATGGCACGTGCAAGTACATGGGGAGCATCGCCGATCCCGTTGACATGAGAGCACCCCACGAGGACAGGTCCAAGTTCCAGGCTCTTCCTCTTCGACGACGAAGCGTCTCCGTTGTTTGAGTGCGGCGAGAGCGCCGACCTGTGATCCAGCCATACACAGAGTGAAAGCAGTGGCCAACCCGGCATCGTCCTGTCGATCGTCTACCAATCCAAAACGGAGGCAGCAGCCAAGCGTTCCGCACGTGCTTGTTGCAGGAAGTTGGCGACTCTATTTGCATTGCCCCGCATACCACGACAAGAGCACCAAGCCACAGTCACCCCGACAAGAATCCCATGTCGCCAGAATAAAAGCAGCGCTTCGGTCCATGAGCGACACGACCGCTCGCTTTTCGTTTGACGTTCACGGACGCCTCATTGCTGAAGCCTGCGACGACAACAAACCAAAGGACTATTCACCCAGGGACTCGATGGACGTCATTCCCTCCTCGAGTCGGTCAAGCCCTCACGCTCCACGACAAAACACAAGTCGATGCCACCACCTCGGCGGCGTGACCGGGCCAAAGATCTTGTTTCGCATCGCCCCGGTAGATTGTACTACCAGTATAAGCATCCAACACAGCCCCAAGCGCGGTGGGGACGACTGCGACGTCTTGATATGATGCAGGGTCAACAGGCTTTCTGACAAGAGCGCATCGTAATGATGCAGAGGGTATGTTGTGAGTGGCCATCGTCAGCGTGGTGTGTGGACGATGGGGCTCGCAATCCATGATCTTCAAGTGAAGCCGTGCATGTCGTGCAAGCAGTCGAGACCGTTCCTTGCTAGCCCCTTGATCCGTGCGGTTGGTGCGACGGCTCGCGACCACAGATGAATGCGAAGTTCCATCGTGGACCTGCCGCGGGCGGACGGGTGTAAGCGAGTGGTTCTAGAACGACTGGTGGGAAAGTTCTGACAGGAACGACGTGCAGAAGTTGTGGGTGGGGTTGCCGTGCGGCGTGAGCTAGGACAGGATGCAATGGGCCTCCTCTTGGCGACAAAGTTTATCCGTGTGGAGCTGTCGACCTCGCCATGTGCCTACCACCAGTTGTTCCAACACGTTAGGCGCAAGAGATCCGCAGTATGTCGATTCCGTAGAGGCGAGGTCGAACGTAACTTTGCCGCAATAGCATGCCCGCGCGCCAGTGTCGGTGCGTGTGGATGGCTGGGACTGAAAAATTGGGGGGACGTGGTTGGCCCAGCCAGCTCGCCTTGGCCGCCGCTGCAGGCATCCTATGCTTTGGCACTCGATCGTGGTGCCTTTCGGTTCGCAGAGCACGCCGCCTGACCGACTACTCTGGTCGTGCATTCGGTTCGATTCGTAGCCACGTGTCAACATTGCACGCGTATCGCACGCCATGCACTCAACGCCGCGCCCGTAGTACACCATTCCCACCGCGAATCGAGGACCCGTGCATGGGTCGGTCTAGCTGCTTGCCGCCGCCTCGGCGTTGCCGAAAATGCTAGTGTGGGGCACGAAGTCAATGCGAGCCATCCATGCCTCGCCGCCTGCGCGTCCCGCACTCACGGGCATTCTGTGGCTGCGAATCCTCGTCTGGCCCACACTGTGGTACGCGGACGTGGCTCGTTTGCTTGCATAGCGTGACGTACCATCCCCCGCCCACCAGTGAGTCGTGATGGATGCCCCAAAACTCAGGCGCTGACTTGGGGTGTACATCATGGCACGTCTGCGCACCCACCCAAGGGCCAACAAACTCATTCGACCTACCACAGTCCATGCATTTGTGCTTCATCGTGGCAGCCACGCTGCTGTCCTCAACATCATCGCGATGCCGTCGCAGGAGTGTCGCCAAGTGATGGCGGCGGCTCCCCCGCAGCTAGGTGACGCCGCCGTTGACCGGCTCATTCGCGACGCTGCGTCGTCGTCGTCGTTTGAGTTTGTCAGGCGAGTGGATGGCATCGATGTGTATCACAGCCCCCGCGACCACAGCGTCCGAGCGGTGACGGTCGTGTCCGGCACCGTCGAGTCCCTCGTGCGGTCGCTGGCCGCCGAGGGAAGGTCGAACCAAGGATTTCGCAAGCGCATGTTCCAGTCCTTTTATGGATCGTTCGTGGACGGCGAGCGACTGCAGGAGGAGGACGCGACCGGTGGATCGGTATGCTGGCTAGGCCTCCACCACGAATGCCATGCGTACGACATGACGCTCTTGGCACGGACATTCGTCGCCGATCCGTGGCCTACCACTCGACACGACCGCCAGCCCACTCATCTGCGTGTTGGCGGACAAGTGTGGCAATCGGTGAACGTGCCACGACGGGTTGGCAAGCCCCGATCGACGTTTACGCGCCTCGTGCTGGCCTCATGCGGGTTTGTCGTGCGGCCCATAGAGTTGGTCGATTCCACCCACGCGATGTGCACGGTCTCGTTCGTGTTGCAAGTCGAGCCCGTTCCCAACCACCACGACCTCGCGCTCTGGTTTGTACAATTGGCGCACTCGGCCACCCTCGCGTTTGCCACGAACTTGCAAGCGATTCTGCCCAAGTCGCTGTGGACGCACAACTCGTACTGTAACCTGTGTTTTACATCGTTCCGTGTGCTGTTTCCGAGGCGGCACCACTGCCGCCTCTGCGGCCATGCCGTCTGTGCCAAATGCGCCATGTTTGTGCCAGCGGCAGTGCTGGCCGCTGCTCACGTTCTCGATGTCCCTCATAATCGGACTCGAGTCCGCACTTGCACCCACTGTGCCGCTGGAAATGTTCGCGGCGCGTTTGCGGTGGAGCGCTGCCCATGGACGTCGCACAAACCCAAGACGGCCGGCAACTCGCGTCATCTCGAAATCATGAACAAGCCACCAACTCTTTCGCTGGGAGACCACACAGACGCATCATCGACAGTGGTCTCCCCCACGTCGGTGCATGTCAAGTCGCCGTCATTTTGGGACATTCTGGACGGCATTCCGATTCTCGAGTCGGCGAAACCATCGCGCGATGCGCCCACAAGACTTGTCGAGTCGTATCCAGCAGCTCCACCACGGCAACAGCCCCGTGCGCCTTGCCTCTTTCGCATCTCGCCGTCCGAGTGCACATTAGTGTATTTTTCTCGTCCAGGTGCATCTTGATAGCTGTCGTTGCCAGCGCTTCCAGGCAGCCCTTCCGCGGCAATCGCATGACATATTGTACCATGGGGGGGTAGCTCAGGCTAAGTTCCCTGTAAGGACCTTGCCAGTTCGAGCGATGAAACTTTGCTTGGGTCGACGGCCGACTACTACAGATGCGCCACAGGTCGGCACAAGGCAACGCTCTTGACAGGCGCAGCAGGGTCGACGTGACGAAAGCAGAGACGTTGTCCTACTCCAGTTGAACTCGCGGAAGTGACAGCAGACCTGCATACTCTATAGCGGCCGACCGGATTACCGGGGTGTAGTCGAGCTCTGCATGATGTCCCTCGTCAATTGCATTGTGTTGCCCCTACGGCGAGACATGACGGCAACCAAGTCGAGCGCATGGTCAAACCTTTCCATGCATGTGGCGCGTAGCACGGACTCGACGACGGGGGGACCTGTCGCGATATTAGAAGACGACTCCCGGTGCCTGGCATCGCGACGGGTGAGCGCGATTCGATGGGCTGAGTAGAGTTCCAACCTATTGGGGGGAGTCGGTTTGAAGCTGCAGCAGATTCGAGTCGTAGGCAGTACTCAGTGTTTCGCCACGGCCATCGGGATTTCGTCCTTCAAAACTCGTCCACCGCGGCCCCCACCAACCCGCCGCCCGTCAACACTGACTTGTGCTGGCGCGTGGGCGGTGCATGTCGGTCCAGCAGCTCGAAACGTCCCCAGCCAACACGTTCGAGTGTGGCCGGTAAGTGCACACGTTGAGCATGATGGTTCTCGACTTGCAACGTGAAAAAACAATGCCGAACTGGATGGATGCACCACTCAAGAGGCTGCTGTCTTCGGCCCCACTTGTGCGCTTGAATGCAGTCATCCCCTCAGTCAAGTCTTAAGCCCTGAACGAAGAAACTCGCAGTGCGCAGCAACGAATCGAAGCTCTGCCCCGTCGTTGTACACGAGTTCTTAGTTTGGAACGATTGGTCTGGCACGACTTCCCGACGTGCCCCTGGCACACAACATGCAGTCGTCGCCGTGCCTGCGTTGTGGCGATATTTCCCACCACCGGCTCGAGACAGCCTCAGCAATGTGGCACACATTGTTCGAGCTTCGTGTTGGTCGTCCCGCCGTTGGGCCGAATGTTGTGCGAAGCCATCTTCGGCCACCCTGCCAAGATGACAACTACAAGCCCAACTGCGGAGAGAATCCCCTTGTGAAGACATGCTTGGGGGGACGCCCGTACCTCCGCATTCCAAGACAAGTATTCGCTGTGGGGGACTTCATCCCGTGCTTGGGCAGCAGAGAAGTTGGAGGGGGGGGGCATGTAGGTGGACCACACTCTCTGATTTGTCCTGGAACACTGCATTGGCGCGCGTACAACAGAGTGGTCCTAGCAGTACAGGCCGACCTTCCGCTCCTACTGGCTTTCTTGGCGCATCTTCCATAACGCTATCTCGCTCTTGGCTCGTTGATGGACACAAAGGTTGCACGTCACAAGCGATGGATTGTAAAGTTGTGCCCGCCCCAGTGGCAAACAACTTTCCACGTTTCAGTCGGTGTGCAGGCATTCAACAACCACAACTAGTGCCCCTATTCGTCGTGCCCGACACAGCGCATTTTGTTCTGATGTAGCCCTCGGCCGCTTGAACAAAGCAAGCCACTCCCTGCGCTGTTGCGGCACTCTAACGTCGACATGACGACGTTTGCCGACTGCACCACCAAACTCACCCTGCGCGGCAAAGGTGAAAGCAAATGAAGGGCTTGTGTAGCCTTCCAACGACGACGTTTACGGAGCGACGGCGGATGGCCACAACGTGATGCGTGGAATCCATTGTGCGAAAAGTCGACGATCATGATGGTATTTTGAAGTTGTGAACGCGAATCGATGGCCATCCATCCCAAGATGCACCACGTAAACCCTCTTCCCCACCGTCTTCCTGGCATTACTGACTACTTTGCCATCAAGTCGAAGCGACTTGGGCTTGCGATAGCAGCAAGCCCATGTGGGAATTCGCGCTACAACCTAGCTCGTCCGATCGCGCCAGCGGTGTAGACGCATGGCTGATGCCTCGACGCTGTGCGAGCGCCGGCACCAACCACTCAACTCGGTTGACGATGCGGCAACCCGCATGGGCCACCCCACTTTTCGCACCACGGTATTCGCTTGGCTTCGTCGTACGATGGCGGCGGGGTTTTGCCTGATCGTCGTCGAGTCTGTATAATTGAATATATTATAGATTATAACAGGAAGACCGTGCCGTTTCCAACGTGAATCAAAGTTTCAAGGACACCACCTCGATCCGAGACATGCTGGCTCAGGTAGCTATGGGCGTATTTGGGCTCGCAGCCGTGTGGGCTGTGGCGCTGCGCATCGTGTTCGGCCCGGGCGAGGAGGAGGCAAAGGAGCGTATGGACGTGCGTCCACTGAGCCTCGAGCTGGCGCTTCTCAAGCAATTCCATCGGGATGTCGAGTACGTTCAACGGAACGGTCGCAGGCTGTACACGCAATGGTGGACACCGTCTACGCCGACGCCGAAGGGCGTGGTGCTTCTAATGCATGGCATGAACGGCCACAGCGGTCGTTTGACTCCGTTTTTCGACACCCTTCTTCGCGACGGGTGGATTCCAGCTGCGTACGACACGCACGGATTTGGTCGAAGTTCCGGGCGGCACGGCCACGTCACGTCGATCTCCGACCTGGCCGACGACGCGATTTTCGTGGTTCGACACTTTAAAGAACGATTCCCGAACGCTCCATTCTTCCTCGTTGGCGGGTACGATGCGTTGGATGTATTCGTGGCTAACACGGCACGAGCGATGTAGCTCGATGGGTGGTTTGACCGCCGTGCACGTCGCGTTGAAGTTACAAGCACAAGGCGCATCCAATCTCTTGTCAGGAGTGATCTTTCATGCACCAGCGCTGCATGTTGCCGCCGACGTCCGCCCGCCTGCGCAGGTTGAGTTTGTTGGACGGTTGTTGGTCCAGCTGGCGCCGAAACTTCCGCTGTTGCCGTCCGTGGATGCACCACCGCCTGCGAACGGTCCAGCGCAGGTTATTCCTGAGGAGGAAGATGCTTTGTTTTACGATGGGCGCCTTCGGTTGGGCACGGGACTGGCGGTGCTTGCCGGCATCGGCCAAGTGGCATCGCAGCTCAACAAAGTGGCATTGCCTCTCTTGGTGCAGCATGGCGAATCCGACTTGGTCGTCCCCCACGACGCGTACGTATAGCGTGTGCAATGCTCCCTCATCCATTTGCCCATGCTACCGTAGGTCATGTCACTTCGTCCATGTTGCCGCGTCCAAGGACAAAACCTTGAAGTTATACCCTGGCGGTGGGCACTTGCTGTGGGCCGAGTCCGAAGCTGTGTCTGGACCCTTCTTGCGAGACATGCTGGCATGGGTGAATGCACGTGTGTAGCGCGTGAAGGTCAGCGTGCTGCTCGTCTTGAATGCGCATGTGGCTCGGTGGATCGTCGGGGTTTCGGGGTTGTGGCAATGTTTTCGATTGGTTGAAAACAATTCGTTGAGCCAATCAAAGTGAACGTATGAATGGATTTCAAAATCATGGAGCCAGTCAATTGTCAGGACGAGAAAATCAACCAAGTTGATGTGGTCGCGCATCGACGTGACAGTGAAAACCACTGGCACCCTGGGAAGGCCAGCGATCCACTGGATGCAACCAACGCCGTGGACAAGTTCCAGGGCTGGTAGCGTGATGGCCAAGTAAGAGCTGAAGGTACATCGAAGGATGTTAGGCATTAGTCGATCCTAGCCGGACGTAGCCAGCTTTGGAGGGGGCTGGTTTCCGTGGCAAGAACACGAGAAGCATGAGCACGCACAAGGGTTTGATCACGTCGAGATTCTGCAGCGGCGACGAGATGGCGCGAGTTGTGTCGCCTTTGCAGGTCGACGCCACGTGAAGCGTCGATCGGATGTGATCCGCTCCTTGGCATGCAAAGTACACCGCAGCGGTGACGGCGATCGACGCGATGTTGCGCATACGCCGGGGGGAGTCTTCGCCAACACGTTGCAATACGTTGCGCATGCGGTGGCCGTAGTACGGAAATAGCCCGACGGCAAGCACCGACACAGCCGCCACACCGGCTTGGGTAGCCGAGCGTAGCCAACACAAAGAGTCGGTGGCGTGGCTCGCGATTGACGAGTTGATGCTTCCACTAGCAGAAAAAGCCATGGCAGCACCAAACACAACGGTGTCGCTTGTATACGCAAGACCCGACATGGTCACATATGCGATGACTGCAACTGGCGCAGTCGTCGTGCGCAACTCGTCCATCCTGCGACCGTTGTGAGTACGCTATCCATCTTAAGCGCGGGGCATTACGCACCGTTTTGCAATTACGGACCAATTGTACATGATGAGCAGGTATGCTGCGACAAAGCAGTTATCTCCAAGCATCGCCGCAGCAGAAGATTGTGGGCTTGGCGGCAAGAGTAGCGCACTGGAAACCTCTCCGACCGATCCGACAATGATGCATGTGTACAACGCCACAGCTGCGCGGTCGCGAATCCAATTGAGCCACAGTCTGTACACCCCCAATACTGCGAGGGGCACGTACAGCCCAAGGAGCCAAGCCCGCGGGGTCGCCGTGGAGTCCATCCAAGTTGGTGGGGCACCCCGCAAGACTGGTGGAATGGCAGGTTGCAACAAGAAGATCTAAACACCTCCATCATTTGATGCTAGTTCAGACAATATTAAATGTGATAGACTTGGTTCAACCCATCGATTTTACGCGAAACTTTTAAACCGATGGATGCTGAAATAGACCGATTTATGACTTATTTCTGCAATTCGTCGCATCACACCGGGACCTCCTCTACCACCGTCCGACGCCTGTCGCATCGATCTGGTTCGCCGCTGACAACGCCTTCCCACAGCGTACAGTCTATTCGCCGCAGTCCTATGATCCGACTCATGTGGCTTTCGTGTACGTCCATGTACTTGTGCATGGATGGGTGCCAACCTCGTTCGTGTCTCACTGGCTTGCTGTAGTTGTCTTTGCTTCGGCCAGTGCTCATGAAACACATCAACCCATCTGCGACGACGTCCAGTGCCTCACACCCGCGAAAACGATCTGTATTCCATCGACCACAACGACGTGCCCACCGTGTTGGTCGCGACATGGCGAACTTGTGCATTGCGGCCCTGCTTTCATGTCCAGTGGAATGGAAGGATCATCTTGTCCACGTGGCACGACGCGCTGCAGTCCGACGAATGCATTCGTTCGATCAAGTCGTCGTCGACGCCTGACAGACACTACGACGATCGCACCCCCCTCCCCGCTCGTCACGTCTGCGCCGACCGCAACAGCCAACACAAGCAGTACTTCACCTCCGAACGCACCAGACAACAGCACGACGATTTGGTACACGTTGGCGTGTGTTGGGCTGTGCTGCCTTGTTGTGCTGCTGTACGGTGTGCTTCGATATATTAACCGAAAACAAGCACGCGAAGAAAAACAAGAGCGAGACGAGATTGCGATGTACCGAGCTGGCATCGCCTCGGATAAAGCTTCCAGTGCATCCGTCCTGGTCATGTCCATGCCTCCACCCGACACACTGTCGCTCCATAACCCCTCCACGCACAACCAAAGGATCGCTCATCCACACGACGTCGCCATGCAGTCGATGTTTCACACGGTCGGGCGCGTTTCGCTCACAAGTAGCGGTCCTGGCGTCGTCGACAGTCCCATCATCGAGGACCTAGTTCTGCCGTCCATGACGACGGTGGAAGTGGCGGCCCCACCACCAGCGACAAGAGATAGCTCCGCCAGCATTGTCATCATGGAAGATTCGGGGGAGGTGTGGGACGTTGACGGCGCCGAGGACGAGTTCCGATCGACTGTCGAGGGCAAATAATAAATTGCCTTTGTTGCTCAAGTCGTGATGATCAATCCATCGTACCCGCCACATTCACAATGTCGTGGTGGTTTTCCGGCGCGATCGGCTGGAATCGCTGGCGTCCCCGTTGGAATCGTTGGGGTAGCATCTCTGTTGACAGGTTCATGTTGAAAGGATATTACTGACGTCGAGGGGATGGGACTTCGTCGACGTGGACAACGTGTGTGTCTTTGCATGTCGTGATGCGGCACTCTCGGGCCTCAAGCATGGAGCCACATGCGTTGAATGATGGGAGCGATGGACGGCATAGCTAGCTCGTGTGGACGAACGCAAGTCGAGATGCAGCCGCCAACCCAACCGCGGCATGTGGAACCGCGGCGTCCGACGACCTGCGCGCGCCGCAGTGGCTGCAACTACGCCAGCATGAGTACACCAGACAGTATGCCATCGTCATGCTGGCCATCCAATATTCTCAACAACGAGACTGTGCTTGCGACCCACATGCAACTCATTTGCCCGAATGATACCGACATGCAAGCAAGGACAACGGGATTTCATTCAAGCAAGGATAAAACGTTAAGGCCGTCCCTGCGACGAGAGGGTGGCCGCAATCCCCATTACAACAATTGACGGTGGCAAGTGTACATGTAGCACAGCCTTGGGGTACCCAACGACGTCATGCAGCCGTCGCGACCAGCCCGCTCTACGAACAAACAACTCGTAAGCCATGCAATGTCGCGTGGAGCGATGTGTCGAGAGGGACTGCAAGGGGGGGAGAGCATGACCCACTGACCTATGGGTGTGGGGGGGTGGACTGTCCACTCGAGAGTTTCTCGGGTCAGGTAGTGGAGTCGTGTGTCCGGGGGCCCATGCGAAATGAGCACGAACGTCCCATTGACTTTGAGAACGCGATGGAGCTCGTGCACGAGGGCGACGGCATTTTCAATGTTGTTGGCACCACACAGGACGGTGTCAAGGAGTCCTGCAATCGGCGCATTGACCACGAACGAGCCCGTGAAATACCACACCTTTATCCACTACCACATCGAAACACTGGTCGGGGACGTCAGGCATGTTGATCGCATCCAAGACAACACCTGCGCACACAACGATCAAGCTGCCACACGGAATCGTGCATCGAGGACCGTACATTCCATCGCCGTGGCACGACGGCGGTCTTGCTCGCGTGCCATGCGCTGAATGGCCATCGCCGACGTGTCGGCATTTGTCACATGTTCATATCCCATCTCGTACAGATGAAAGGCCAGCTCTACACGTTCGCCCGTGGGCGGGGGGGGGTTGATGTTGAATGCGTGCTACACACCAGACATGCCACACCCTACGTAGTCAGCACAGCATTGGTGAAAAAGACAGCGCTGCACAACGCGCGGGGCCGTACCTGGGACGAAGATCTCGCAGCTCGCATCGTAGCGGTCCAAGATGGTTTGAAGGTGCGGTTGGAGCTACAATGGTCCACTCGAACGATGCCTTTGTGGACAACGACGACCATCTGACCGACCTCTGCACTGCTCAGGTACCAGTCAAAGTAGTCGCATGCCGCTGCTTTGTACTTGGCATCCCACTCGTCGGCACTCTGAGGGACTTTGCCTGCCGTTGCCATGATGCCGTCCATTGCGCGGTTTCGCACGTAACTGGCGACAGAGCTGAAGGAAATGGGGGGGAATCGGTTGGTCAAGCGCCTTGGAGACTGTATGCAGCCCAAGAATTACGCATTCGATCGAGCATGCACATGACCACCGCACACTGCGCACTCGTTTGCGCCAAGAAATGCCGGCTGGTCCGTCGTTGGCATGGGAATCTCGCTATGGGGAGGAAGTCCACGTAGAGCTCAGTGCCGCTGTTCACAGGACGCATATGGTCACATAAAACCGCCCAAATCGTGCTCGACAATGAATCCCATCACGTTCGCCAGTGGGGAGCCCACGTCGTCCGTTGGTGGGACGCCATCGAAGTGCATCATGCACACACAAGCGGTACGTTGCTGTAGAGGAAGTCATGGCGACGTCACGGCCACAGTGCCACCGGAACTACATCGACCTGGCCAAGAACGTATGTCGAATACAACGACATCGGTAACCATGCAGCTGTACGACGACAGGAGATCGACCCTCTCAGTCCCTGGGTTCCCCTGGTTTGAGACTGATCAAGTCCACACTGGAGACCGCCACACGACCTATCCCTCGCTAGAACCACGCATGAACGCGAGAGAACTCCTGAAAGCGAAGAAGAAGGATGGCCTTGCCACGGAGACTGTCGTGGTCAGCCTCCCCATGACTCCAGTCGAGAGAGATGAGGGTGGTGGTCGTTGTGTAATTTTTTTCAAAGGAGGCAACGGATTGGCCAATGGTGTCCTAAATCAGCCAATAAGAATTCGCATACGCTCGTATCGAACTTTGAGAGTCACAATTTCACGATGGGAGGTCGCGCCACAAGATCACCTCGAAGCGATCAGAGAGGAACGCGAGCCACGTACGCGTATTTAACAGCGCTGCATCAAACTGTACGATGCTCGTTTGACCCAGGCACGTTTACGAAGAGTGCCGCAGTGTCGACCTGTCAAGACGTGGTCAAAGGGCAAGTGATTCGTACTTAATATTGTAAACTGCAATTAGTACTATTTTGTGGACATTTTAAAGAAGGTTTCAAATCAATGGCAAATTTATTGCAATTCTCGCTATATATTGAATTCATGGAGTCTTATTAAATTCATTTTCAGAAGCTTAGATTTACCTCTATTGGGTTTTGACCAAACCCAGTGGAACAACTGAACCGGGTCGAAGCTCCACGACTGCCAACAGCAGCGCACATGACGGACGACGACATCCTCGAGCGCCTTCTCTTTGGGGGTGACGGTGACGACGTCGTAATTCTATCTCCTGCGATCGACGACTTGGCTATCGCGCCGTCGTCGGCACCGACAGAAGCGTCGAGCAACCATTCTGACGAGTCGGACGCGCCCAAGCGAAAGCGGCAGCGTACGAGCCTCAAACACGAACTTGAGTACCTGAGGGAGAAGCAAGAAGCGTTGCAGGCTCAGCTCAACGAGCTGCGCGCGACGACGGTGGTCCGGCAGCCCAGCTCCATCTGGGAGATGCGTGCCAAGACCCAAATCGCAGCAGCCACGCGCGCCATGCAGGAGAACGCGTCGCTTCGGACGTTGTTGCAGGAGCAATTGAAGACTGCGCAAACGTTGGAGCGAGTGTTGAAACGGTCGCCCAAACTTGAGGTAAGCCTTCGTTTGCACCACCCAGCGGCATGATGCACACGCGGGTCCATGTAGCTGTCCCCCCAGTTCAATCGAGAAGAATGGCGCAGCTGGAGGCTCGATGCCGACCCCGCTGCGCGCATTCAAAGCATGCTCGCGATCACGGACCACATGTACGACCGCCTCGAGGGCGAATTGATCAAGAGCAAAGTGTACGACCTCCACGACCGGCAGAGCTGCATGAACGTGCGGACGCACCAGAACGTGCTCTGGTTTGATTTTATCCAGTCCACCATCATGGACGTCGACCACGACGCGATGCGGTCGGCCACGTGGGCGCTCGCACGTCAGCAACTCCAAATGGATGGCGGTCCCATCCTGTCGACAACTGGCACGGTTCGTACAATCGACATTGCGTTGGTGGTGGCAAGGAATTGTGTGCATACCACCGTCGAGCGTGTGGTGCATCTCTCATGGAGAGTGGCGGCATGGAGTAGCTCGTGTGGTTTGGCGCTCGATTCCTCGAGGAACTCGTGCAGGTGTCCATGCCATCTCGCCATCGGTTGGACGTTGGCTTGTTCATGCGTGATGTGGCGCGCGCAATCGACTAACTCCCGTCGTCCTGGGCGGAATGCGATTTGTAGATCTTGGCAGACGTGCCCGAGTTCAACATGGTGTACACGCGTAACGAGTCGACTATGGTTTTCACGAGCGGCTCGTCGTGCAAATCGGAAGGCCGATGGATCGCACGCATGTACACCGAGCCCCACCGCACGGTTCTTGTGTATCGTACGATTCTCGACGACGCGTTAGAGCCGCACACCCCCGGGATCCTCCGCGACAACCTTGCTGGCTGGTACGACGACGCACGGCTGAAGCTCCATTGACGTGGTAACGTGCAGGGTGGTGTTGCAGCGGTGTGAGACCGACCCGGCCAAGACCAAGCAAATGGTCGTTCACCAGTGCACGCCGGCGGTGTCGACCTGCAGCGACGATGGCGCACAGGCGCCATTGCCCCCGACGGGCGAATTGACCGAGTTTCTCTTGAATATGCTTCGTACACACATGGATAGCATTCGACGAGCAGTTGTCCAGCACAAGCCGTCGACGGTTCCACCGATTGCAGCGACCGCACGTGTCCAGGTCGAGCGCAATTGAGGCGTGCCGTCGTTCTGCCCGGTTCAGTGTCGTTGTAGCCGCCTCTTTGTATTGTAATTCGCATCCCATGGCAATCGTGGCCGCCGACACCCATGGGGATGGACCCAACGTGCGCGTCCTGAACACACACAAACAGTTTGGTTTTTCCGACTCGGTCACACTCTTGCGAGAATCGCGGCTTCGTGGGCGAGGAGTCCTCCCCATGCTGGCTGGCTGCATGTTTTGGTGACCGAGCTCTCTCCGACGAGGCTGCCGTGGTTACGCCCAGCGTACCATCGAGAGCCGTTAGACACCACTGGCGCAGCGGCGTTCGTCCCAACTGAGTCTATATCAATGGAGCAAAACGTTCAGGGCAGCCGTTCGGCCCTGCACGAGTGGACGGCATTGGTTTGGTACAAAGTTGCTTGTTCCATTATCGTGACGATTCGTGAAATCGACGCAGTAGAGTGGCAAGTGGGGGCAAGGGCGTGGAGGGTCGCTGGCACATGCCCACATCGACAGCTTCGTCGTGACCGCCTTGATTGTCCCGTTCATCCGAAGTTGGGGGGGTTGTGTCGTCGATGGTGTCGTCTTGGGGTGGCGGCGTCGAGGGCGGACGATGTTTTTCTTGCAATCGCTTTCGAAAGGCGAGTTGGAGCTCCGACTTGAGGAGGGCAGTGTTTCGTTTCGGCCGTGGAGATGGCACGGCGCCGGCCGCTGTCGCCGCCTCCATCGCTTGCATGTCGTACGGTGCAAATCGGTCGGGTCGTCGCTTCTTCGCATCGAATTTGCGCTGCTGCTGGTTGTGCTTGGCTCGGTGAAAAGGACACAACGTGTGGGGCGCGCCGTTTTTCTTGACCGCTCGCTCGGCGGTACAGGTGGTGCTCGGGTACATGCACAGACCACGAAAGGCGCGTCCCATAGGCGATGTAGTCGCGTCGGTGCCGCCATCATCGTGCGCAAGATGTTGGTTTGTGCCTTGACCAGTTGCCATTCAAAGGCGAGGCCGAGGACGCTGGAAGGACGATGCGGATCAGCCCAAGGGACACCTGCCACATGAGTGCGGCATGACTCGACAAAGCGGTCATGTTTTGCAACGTGGCGGGTCAACGGCCGAGCCTTTTCCCAACGTTGACGGCGGTTTCGTCGGCAGTTACACGGGGACTCGAGTGCCTCTTCGCCTGAAACCGTGCAAGGTCGTGCGTTGTCACCGGCCACCGCATTGGGCTCGTGCCATGGGGAAGGTCGCGCCGGCAGAGACGCCCAGCGGTGCGTGCGCAGCTAGCTCTTCCCTCTGGTCCGACGTTGCAACGCCACGGTATTACGTAGGCGCGGTCGAGACGAGGTCGTCCATGGTCGAAAAAGCCAAACTTCGTGCGCGGGTCGAGCGTCTGGGCGCTGGCAAGTCGTTCTTCAACGTCACGATGGACGACATTGGCGACTTGGGCGTCGGCATTCGGTTGTACTTCATGCTGACCAAGTACACGTCGATGCTGTTTGTCGTCATGTCCCTGTGCGCCGCGCCGTCGGCAGGTAATCTCATCCAGGGGAAACGTATTGCCTGTCTGAGTGGACGTCGTGTAGTCATTCACTACTTTGGCCATGGCGTGACGGAGGCGACGAAAGACCCGCTCGGCCTCAATTACTTGTCCCTGGCAAACGAAGGCATCAACCCCGAGTACGTTCCAGCCAACTGCACGTACATGGGTGGCACCATGGACTGCTCCCTCCGCACGATTGATACCCCCCTGACGACCTCTCCCAAGATGGGGTACGGCCCCTTTCTTCCCCGATGCTCCCCCTGGCCCTGTCTGAGCTTGGAGCGTCCGGCTCACCCACCCCCCCTCGTGTTCTCCTGTCTAGAGCGTACATCGCCACCATATGCGACTGCACGTACTCGCTCGTGTTTGTCGCGTACATTGTGTTTATGTCGCACCGATGCCGCGCGATCGTGGCCGCACATGCCAAGGACAACATCACGCCCGCCAAGTACGCCGTTTACGTCCGGGGCTTCCCCCGCGATGCGACGGAGGCCGAGATCATGGCGCATTTCAGCGCGCTGTACGACCTATCTCAGCCCGCGCAATACTTTCCCATGTGGCTTGGGTGCTTTGGCCGGCGCCGCCGTGTCAAGTCCCGTCGGCCGGGGGATGCTTCGCGTTCCAAGCGGTCGTTCGAGCCCGTGGCAGACGTGTCGCACGTGGATGGCAATGATCTGTACATGCAGTCGTGGGTCGCTCAAGTGAGCATCGCCCGGCCCATCGGCACGTTCCTCCGCCTCTTTCTCGCGCTGGAAACGTTGACGCAAAAAATTGCCATGCTGGAAGCGACGATCGCCGAGTACAAGACACACCCGCGTCGGTTCCACAAGCGGCTGCCCCGCGCCCAACTCGACCTGGCCGCCCTCCAGACCCAGCTCGAGACGAAAACGAGCAACATGACTGCGCTGCGCACGCAGGGCATCCAACGGTAGTACTCCTTCTCGGCACGTCGTCGTCGAGACATGGTGTGTCGGTGGTAGATTACACGAATGCGAGTGCGCGTTTGTCGTATTCAACCACGTCGAGAGCCAGCAACAGTGCATGGCCGACTACCGGACGAGCCACTCGTGGTGGAAGCGCTGGTTTCAGCCGACGGCGCTTCGATTCCGAGGCATTCACGCGCTCAAGGTGTCTGCCGCCCCCGAACCATCCAACATTGTGTGGGAAAACTTGGAAACGTCCGCCGTCGAGCGGTTTGCGCGGTACGTGGCGGTCCGACGACTCGAGCGACCACCCCGTCGACCGTAGGCGGTCGTTGACAAACGTGGTCACGTTTGTGCTGCTGATTGTGTCTTGCGCGATCATTTCGCTTGCCCAGGGGTACGTCCTAGCGACTGCCTTGACGTCGATCGATTATTCATGTTGCGTTTGTCGATGGCCTAGCGCCCAGCAAACGTTCAACAAGCCCGGCCCAGCCAACATTTGCGCCAAAATCCTCGACGTGTATCAAGGCCCAAGCTACGACGGCGCCGCCGCCGCCGACTGGACCTTGCACTGGAACGCGTCCGTCGTGTGCCCCGCCGCCGGGTCGTTCGAGATTACGTACAACCAGTCGGCGACGCCATTCCCCGCGACCGTCCCGACCTTCAACGACGTCGCGGGGCCGTCGGCCAACCTCACGCGATGCACGTCTGGATGCTTCACTCCCGGCTTGACCACGTGCGGCACTCTGCCTTGCTTCACGACCGACTACAACTACACGGCAACCACCAACCGTGCGGTCGACAACGCGTGCGAGTCGTACGATTCGAGCAGCATCGTGCTGTGCTACTGCAAACCGAAACTCGAAGCGTACATTGCGTTGGACGGGCTGTACCACGGCCCAAAGAAGCTGTGGCAGGTCGAAGTGCCGTGCCGCGAGTACATCACGGCGTTCTTGACCAAGAATGGACTCCTCGTCGCCGCCGCGGTCACCGTGATCCTCGTCAACACGGCGCTGCGGGGGGTGTTTTACGCGTTTGGCGGGTTCGAGCGCCACTCGTCCGAGTCCAACACGGCGGCCGCGGTCGTTGTCAAGCTCTTCTTTGCTCAGTGGATTAACACAGCGGTCATCGTTCTGCTCGTCAATGCCCAGCTTGGCAACGTCCCGATCCTTCACTTTTTTCTCTCGGGTGCGTACGGCATCTTCCCGCCGGGGTCGTTTTTTTGGCTAGTGGACGGATTCTTGCGTGGTGGAGCATGAGATTATTGTCGATGTTCTCTCGGCGGGCCACATCGTTTGCATCGTGGTGCAGCATCGCATGCCGAGCGTGCATGTCTCGGCGGAGCTCGCTTTCGCCTTCCACGTCGATGGGTGTCCTCATGACGTCCTGGTCTCCGTAGGTAAACTCACCGACATGGAGCGGGGATGGTATACGTCCGTGGGGGCTGGGATTACGCTGACGATGCTCGTCAACGTTGCGACTCCCCACGTCGGCCCTGTCCTGGCCGCGTACGTGATTTTGCCCGTCAAGCGCGGGATCCAGCAGTTTACGACCGTGACCAGTTCCGAAATGAACGCGCTGTTTGCGAACCCGGCGTTTGACATTTCCGTGCGGTACCCCGTCGTCCTCAACACGATCTTCGTCACGTTCATGTATGCGGGCGGGATGCCGGCGCTGCTTCCGCTCGGCGCTGTGTCGTGCTTCCTCAACTACGCGGTCGACAAGCTCATGCTGATGAAGCTCTACCGCGTCCGCACGGCGTACGATCAAGCGCTGGGTAATTTGGCCTTGACGCTGTTTCCGTGGATGTTACTCGTGCACCTCGGGTTCTCGGCATGGTCGTACGGAGTGTCGTCGCTGCTCGAGTCGGACCTGCTCCACGTCGCCGCGCTCGCACAGCAAGCGACGTCGGCGCTCGCGACCGTGGAATCGTCATTTACCGGCCAAGACGACGCGAACGCAACGACGTCGGCCGACGCGGCGGCGATCGACCCGACAGAGCAGCTGCACGAGATGCTGCTGGCGCAGCTCGAGACGGTCGCCGACCCCACGCTGGCTCAACTGCTTGGCGGTGTCCTCAAAGCATATTCCAAGATTGTGCGGGTCAACACGTTTCCCGTCTTTTTCTTGTTTGTGCTGGTGCTGCTGTATTTGCTCTTGCACCGCGTCTTGGCGCCGGTCTTCCACGTCACGGTCGGCGTCATGTTCAAATTTGGGTCGCTCCTCCTTGGAAAGGTCCGGCGTTCGAGGGTTCGCGTGGCGGCGGCAGCCGTCGGGCAGACCGCACCGGCGTTCACCGCGCTCTTCGAGCGGCCGTTGGCCGCAGACGAAGTGGATGGCGCACGGGACGACGGTGAAAAGGCAGCGGCCATGGCGAAGAAGACCGTCGACACGGCGAGGGGGTTCCAAGTCGATGCGGGTCGGGGCATGGTGATCTGCCGCGGCGCGGACGGCGAGCGCTTGCGGTCGTGGCAGGCAACCTCGGCCCCCGTCAAAACGTATGCGATTGAAAAAAATCCCAAGTACACGGTGCGACGTTGAGTTTGTCCTGACCATCCATTTCTCACGGCGCGCCGGGACGTGTTTGTGTAGACGGCCGTCGCCAAACTCCTCGAAGCAAACCAACGGCTGCGCACCGCCGACGCGTTTCCACAGCAAACGCCCATACCGCACCACGACATGCGGCCGCCGGAGGCCGCCACTTGCCGCGCGCCGTTTCTGGCGAGTTAGATAAACAAATATGCACATGCACGCCACCGACTCAAATGTACGCTCGACGTTATGCCTGGAGAGTCGATCGAGCTGGCGCGGGGCTTGGGCAAATGGTGACGAACGTCATGAAATTGGCGGAGGCGCGGCATCGCCTGAAGAAGGAAGGATCGCTGCGTATATCTCGACGAATTGTGCTCGGAGATCGGCGATATCGTCGTCGCTGTACACAGCACCAGGACAGATCAGTCACAGCGCGTTGTCGGTTGGAGAGCGGTGCACTGCATCGGCGATCGAGACGCGCTCGTACCTCGTGTCGAAATGGTGCCACCACCGCATGGGCTCTTGGGAAATCTAGCAGTCCATGATGGAGGTGAAGGTCAGGATGAAGGGAATGAAGTTGAACCTGCAAGAGGTCCATGGCGAGGTATATGCACGCTGCAGCGATGACATGCGGGGTGTACTCGAGAGCACGAGGACTGTAGTAGAGATCGCTTGCAAGAGTGAGCGCGATCTGAACGGCGAGCCGCGACGACCTGCGAGTCGTGAAGGGACCCGTGGTGGACAGCACCCGCTGTCATGCACGCATACCCGAGAATTTTGGTGTAGTTGAGCAGATGCTGATATGGCAGCGCCACGTCCATGTCAAATCGAATGGCCCGAAGAACCTACACTCGTCAGATGGAGGCGATGGAGAGCCGCCGCAGCCGTACGTTTTGCTCGGCGTCCAAGAGCCGCTCCTTGAATGCAGTGTATTCGGGACCTGTCGGCATGGGGGAGTTGACATTAAGGGATGCACAGTGCACGACGTTCATCACATCGCGCAGCTTCCGCGGTTTTTCTGTGATCTATTGTTCAACAGGGAGTGTGGACATGATGCAGTCGCATGACGACAGGACCTTTGTGGCGAGGAAGATGCACGCTGCGCCGATGACCTGATGTTGTGGGAACGAATGCGGCGTCCTGCGTGTAGGGATGGACGATGGGAGTCACTCGAGCCACTGCATCTCGAAAGGACCAAATGCATCCACCTTACTTGTGTGTTCCGTAGTAACGATGGGCGAGGACCATGGCCGTCGTCGTCGCGACCTTGAACACCACTGCTGAGAATTCGCCAACCCTGGATGACTTACATGGCCTAGATGAAGCCTCGCCGAGCAGTCGGCAATGAAGCTGGAAGAAACATGTTGTGTAGGGACCACACTCGTGCTCGTCGGTGGAAGCGAGTGCTCCATGAGCGGCATGGCCATGGTTCCGTGATCGATATACCACTTTAACGAATAACCCTCGATAATATATATATTCACAAATAGAGGCAATGATTTTCTCCGATTGTGGTTCATCAAGAAATTGGTGAAAAGTCAACAATTTCATAAATACGAATATTTTCACATATCCAATCTATTTCACAATCTGTACACGAACGGATCGGCGGAAGTCGGTTCGAGGGAAGATGCACATGACTTGTAGCTCGTCCTACGTCCGGTGAATTTACCCCTTGATCTGTGTATTGGGCTCTACGTTCTTTTTTCCAAAATGTCGAAAACAGCGTTGTATTGGAGAAATTAAATACCTTTAATATTTTATGCACATAGCGCTAACTTGGCGACCTTCCACGGCCGCCGGGTCCCAGCGCCCATGAGCTCTTTCCCACGAAGTAGGCGAAGGCTTACCGTCATCGTCAAGCTGGCTCCCCTAGGTACCAGTGCAAACACGGTCAGAGAAGCAGCGTCACGATTCTAGCAGGTTAGACAACCTCAAGTCCCCACCTATCCTACCACAACACTCGACGTAGGGGCGACGAAGGAGCGTCGGCGGGCGAAACGGCCGCCGTCTCGGTGCATGCGGCGCGATGTAGGGAACCGACGTGGCTGCACTTCCCCCTCGCGTCGTCAGTCTGTCGCATGGCGCATCACCGACGATGAGCTTGTCCTGGCCGGACGAATCCGACGACTCCACCTTCGCACGGGGAATCATGACGCAGAAATACGCGGCAGTGGATCTGGCGCGCAAGTTGGCGCATTCCCCGACGGATGATAAATATGTGCTTGTTTGCATTTCTCTTTGTCTACATCTAAAAAACTAGCACTACGACAGCCACAAGCACCATCGATGATCTCCACGCGCCGTCTACAACGCCATGGCACGCCCCACCATCATGAACGACGCTTCCTGGGCAGCAGCTTGATGCAGCATGAGTTCCGACAGGTTGGCTTCCGACGCGTTGATCATGCATCCTGCAGCATCCTGCGAAGCGCACACAACTTCGAGCATGATGGAGCGCGCGGTTTCAACGTCGTCGACGCCGCAAAGGTGGCAAGTCTGCTCGACAAGGCGGCGGGAGCGTTCGACCAAACGCGACGCGCAGTTCTTTTCCGACTCGAGAAAGACAAGGCGGCGGCACATTGCAGACGTCACGGTCGGGGCCGCGACTTGGCACATGGCGCCAAAACGGCGACCAGCGTCTTCGTACTTCTGGCACACGTCTTGCATCTCGAGCTCGGCGGCCTGAGTCGCTTGTTGCGCGAGGAGGGGGAGATCGGTCACGCTGCCTTGCTTCAATGCGTTCTCCATCTGCATGCAAGTGGAGTACACAACTTGAGCAGGGTTGAGGGTGGTTGGGGACGGGACAGCCGCCGCAACGTTTGCCGACGCTGTCGGATCGATGTCCAGATCGAAGTCGGAAAACACATCCGAAATCAAACTTTCCGTGTCGGTATCGTGCTCGCCAGACACTTGGATCGGATCCAGGCAATTGGGATCGGCGTCCTCACCGACAACGAGGTAGAGCTTGTTGACGAGATCGTCGACCATTGCCGATTCGTCCGACGTCGACGGCTCGAGTTTGATCGAGGTCGGGGGCACGGAAGAGAACATGCTTGTGGTTGCGTTGTTGTTCGTGGGCGACGACACGGGAGAAGCTTCCAGTTTCTTCGCCACATGACCTTCTTCATCTTTCAGCGGCATTTTGCGCTTCTTGTCGGCACCTCCCGACGACACATCCGTCGCCTTTTCCTTTTCATGGATGTGGCGATGACGACAGAGATTGCCCGACGTATTGAACCCCTTGTTGCAGATTTCGCAATGGTATGGTTTCGCCCCCGTGTGCGTGATCTGATGGCGAGCGAGGGTAAATGCGCGCCCAAAGCGCTTCGAACACTTTTCGCACGCATACGGCTTCAACCCCGAATGCGCCTTGACATGGCGGCCGAGGTTGCTCGACGAACAAAACACGCGGTGGCATCCGTCCACAGGACACACAAACTCATGACGAGGCTTTCCGGACGCGTCGCTGTGGTTGTTGCACGGGACACCGTCTTCGCATGAGTTGCACTCATCGTGGTCCGATGTTACAGGGGAGTCGCAACCTTTGGGGGGCTTCTCGGTCTCCGAGTCAATGTCCAGCGTATCTGCTGTTCCACCGCCCATTGCGCAAAGGATTCGTCGACGGAGGGATTAGAGTGAATGGCAGCGACTGGAATGGTTTCAACGGGCGGTCGCGGCAATAGCGCTGGTTGTCCTGCTCTGGGGCGCCGCGGCAATTGAAATCTGGCTTGCCTTGTTCGGTCGGGGACATGTGTACGATGTATGAATATCGCAACCGTACAGGTCTGTTGTGCCTTTCCAGCCCAGCTTGAGCAATGTACGAGGAAAGCATACAATAGTGTACGTTGCCCGTACATTTGGAACCACTGGCGGGGGCGACGTCGGTGAGTAATTCGACGTCGTGGCTGGGACGGCGAATCTCGACTTGACGTGTGTCTTATTTAATGACTGGATATTTGTATTGGAACACGACGATCTTGGACAGGAACGATTAAAATTGTCGAAATTTATCGCCTTCCAAGCCGCGACCAACATTTGTACTACTTTTAGCCAATCAGGTCGTGGCATTGGCATGACAATCCGGCTCTACGGCAGTCGACGTCCAACAGCGAAAACGACGTCTTCTACCGAAATAAACGCGTTCCGTACGTTTCGTTCAAGTCGACAAGGATTGCCACCCCATGACCCGATTCGATCCAAACTAAAACGACCAGGGACGGTTCGACGCACTGATGGGGTCGTCACCCATCACAACAAGCTGTGATGACGTTCGAGACTCAGCGGCGTTGTCATTTGGTGTTTAGCCACAACGGTGTCGAGTGGGCGGTTTCGAGGCCATAAATCGAATCGAAGCATGGAATATATAACAGGTGCATGAAGAAGTAGCATGGCCTTCCCTGTGGAGATGAATAAGAAGTGACTTTGTAACTGGTAGAGCGACGATGGCGCGACAACGTCGAACTCATGACACAATAGCCACGCAAGTCGTTCGTTGGTGTATGCTGATGAGCCGAAGCGATTGAAACGTTCGTTTCGTACACGTTTCGTACATGTTTGGATTCGACTGGCTCAACCAAATCAGATACACTCCTGATACATGTCAAGGTGGATGAGGAAGTCGAAGTACCCCTCCTCCATGCCTCCTTTTCGTTTGCTGAGGCGGGTTGATTGACAAAGCGTGGGGGGCGTGGATGTCTTAGTTGTATCGTGTATCGAAGTTGGAGTTGTCGTTGTGTACTGTGTGGTTCATTGGGACGGACGTTGCGCACCAGGCGAATACCTTTGGTGAGTGAACGAAACAATGGCCCAGTGCAATAATCTGACCAATTATTGGAATAACTCTCGGAATGTGTGTTTGATGTTGATGAACAACGAGTCTTGTTGCATAAAAACGAACAATTTTATGTCCATGTTGCTCTGTATGTGGAACAAAGGCACTGGGTGCGATATTGAATTGGTGAGCTGTTTTTGACGCATACGGTACCGTTGGGAAACACGGGAAAACGAAATCAGTCGCTGGATACAAAGTAGAAATAGTAAGGGTGCTTTGATATTCCGGTCAATTCCACAACAACTCCAAAATATATACCATGTCCATATTGCTTGTCCATCGAAGCCACAAAGCTAACTCCGCGGGCGCGATTCGAGCGTTCACATGATGGTACCAACTCTTCATGAGGAGGAGATCATGAGTCCGCTTGAACGAATGTTGAGCGCTTGTTTTGCACGAGGAGGACATGCCATCCAGAAGATATCCGGATATCACCTCTTGGAGATATTAGGAACTGTCGCGAATTCAAAAGCAAAGTCGAAGATCCTTGAACTGGAGAGTTGACGCCACATAGCAGATCGTGTTCATGCCACACAACACCGACTACGATAAGCAGACAATTTCCGGCATCTCCTGGCGCTGGTTAAACCTTCCTCTGGAATACCTTTGCTTGCCAACAACACCGAAGATACACAGGCATCATCCATACTCGGTGTCTACATCTGAAGAACTTGGAATGTCCAAACTAGCGCACACGTAGCGCAGTGTTGGGTGTCTTGTTGTGTTTATACTGAGCACACTCTCATGTGGGCAGATGGTGCACCATACTGCGAGTTGGGGTGACATGTGACAGATATCTCTTCCATACCAAAACCACGACGGCGACGACGTGGTCAAGTGGATTTTGCATCTCCAAAACTCGACCTCGTCGTCTGACCTGCGCTTCGCCTCTGGCGCGACAGGCCATTGTTCTCACCCATGTGGTCAAGCCCGTGCGCGGGTGAAGCAACCTTTCGTGGCTGCGTAAAGTCGATGTGGTTTTGATCGAATCGCAAATTGGCAAAGTGGAAGCGTTGGATTATTTCGTCGAAAAATATATTTCCAAATTCGTCGTCGAAATTGTACAAAACGCCAGGAATGACAGCCACGAAAGGGTATCACACAGCATGGGGCAGCGGCCGGTCGAACACGCCAGCCAGTACGTTGTTCACAGCAATGTCCGCCATCGCTTGTCGCGTCTTGATGGTTGCCGACCCAATGTGGGGAAAGATCGTGCAGTTTGGCAGAGTGAAAAGCTGCGTGCACGATATGGTCATGTCGCCGCCGGCATTCGCATATCAAACAAAATTCGTCGCAGTGCATGAAAAAGTACCTTGTGGTCCACGGGAAGGGGCTCTGGGTCCGTCACATCCAAACCCGCCGCGGCACACTGCTTGGTCACCAGAGCATCATACAACGCGTCTTGGTCAACGACAGGTCCTCGGCTCGTGTTGATAAACACAGCGTTCGGTTTCATCTGGGCAAATCTATCATAAATATGACTCATGGCTGAAAACAAGGATGACGATACAAAGTGGCGTTGAAAAGGCGGTGGGTGTCTTCGTTTAAAGGACAGTGCACGCTGACAATGTCGCTAGCTGCCAACAGAACGTCCATTGAGCAGTACGTGGCCTCCAATGGGGCGGCAAATTCGGGCTTTTCACGAGGCCCAGTGTACAGGATCTGGCAACGGAACGCCAGGCGCATCATGGTGGCATACCTGGCGCCAATTCGACCGAGGCCAACAATCCCAACTGTGCTGCCTTCCACGTCGGTGCCACAGTACCTATCGTAACGCTTGAATTACGACTACGATCGAATTTGAAGTACTGGAAGGGCTGCCACACGCCCCAGTCGCCTCGCTTTGCATTGTCCACACTTGCAACCACATGGCGCTTCGCAGCAAGAGTCAATGCCAAAGCTGTTTCCGCAGTCGACGTGTCGAGCACTCCTGCAACGCGTGCGTGTTGAAATCACGCAATAGTGCAGCCTCATCGAGTGCGATGCCAACCTGGCGTAATTCCCACTGCTACTCGCTTGGCGTGGCAGGCTGGGACGTCGATATGGTTGTACCCCACAGACATGGTGGACACAACCTTCAAGGACGAACCCGCTGCGTTGAGCACATCGTTGTCGATGCGATCGGTTAGCATGCACAGCACACCCGAGCAATTGTGGACCCGACGAAGGAGGAGATCGCGAGGCATTGCAATATCTTCGCGATCGAACACATCAACGTCGACATTCGCGTGTTTCAGTTGTTCTAGTGCACGTGCACGTTGAGGCGACATGCGCCAAGCGGGGACTCGTACCGAGGATATATGGCACATGGCGAGTCACGAGGACCTTGGGCCTGACGGCAGCCGCTGCTGCAACTTGCATGATGTCTCAATGGATTATCGCCAATGGCAGCGTGTAAGTGAAATATGATGTATTTATTGGCTATATTGTTCTTTATTCAGCGAATCATGTGACGCTAAGTCAAATACAGTGCGTGGATTCGCTGAATTTTAAGCATACGGATAATTTTATTGCGATTTGAATCGTCCGGATACGCATCCCGCGGCGGCAAATACGAAATTCTTACTCAAGTTCCAACATGTCAGCGGCGACGGCAGACGACCGCCTTGATACGCTGAGTCACCTCTTGGACCCCTTGAGGTAGGCAGAGCTTCGTGTATGACCATGATCTAACTTTCGTGGACGTAGAGAGCTGAGCATAGAGTTGGACTTGGCCGGGGAACTCGAGGAATACCTACAAGCGATCAACGTTGACGAGAGCGTGCTTGTAAACTTTGCTCAGGCCGCACTGCTCGTGCAGCAATCCAGCGCATTATACAGCAAGAAAGTCGAGCATTTGTACACGCTGGTATTAGAAACGTTGGCGCATTTACAATCCACCGATGTGCGCGAGCAAGGTCCGCCTACGGGTGGCAAACAAACCGCATCCAAGAAGCTAAAGACCAACGACGGCAGGGCTCCGGCAACCGCGCATGGGGCCTCTGACAGTAGTAGGGCGTTGCTGACGCTTGCCGACATGAATGTCGAAGCAAATCAAATCAACTGGACGGTGCGCACCCATGTGGAGGAGTCAACGAAGATCGACCTGCCACCTCCTCACCCCGCCATGCAGCAACGCCGCGACTTGGACAAATCAACAAACACAAAGACGTTCCAGTATGGTGTCGTCCATTCACGCACTGGGATCTCATCATTTCTAGGGCATCCATGGTGATGATGGGGTCATTCGTGTCTATGGACAACGACTCTGGAGAAAGTTTAAAACTCAAGTCATGCCGTGTGGATCCTCAGGTAATATCGATACACCAGCTCACAGCAAAGAGTCACTTTCCACGTGAAGACGGGGGCGTTGTATTTGGACGAAAGCAGTAAGGACCTCCTGGCGTTTTCACGACGTCAGGTCGTCTCAGCTACACCATCGACTACTGCGACGCAGCCACTTCAGCGCTCAGTTGCACCAGTGCTTACTCCAGTGCGTGAAGACGACGACGCTGAAGCCAGGAGCCGCCTCTCGTACGAGGTCAAGCAAGATGGAGCTGACGACAACAACGAACCTGACTTTGGCTGGAACGCCGAAGATTTGAACGAGGAAGCTGAGCCTGTCGCCACAACTGAAAACAAAGCCAAGGCGTGGGGCAATCAAGACCGCGGCGCATTCTCTCCAGCGCTGCCAGGCATGGCCACGGAGGTACTGCATGCATGTATGTCTCTGGACGATGCACCGCAACTTTCTAGTTCCGTGGTCAAGTTCACGACACGATGTTTGGTGAAGTGAGAAACGTGGCTTGCCGTCGAAGCATTTTCTCATCAATTCTGAACACGATAGAGCCATGGCGACGGGCATCACGACGACCACCCCGACGACGACGACCCATGGCAGCTTCTCGACGCCTATGAAGCCAAGGATTGCGTCGTCAGGCCTTTCCGAAAAGGTACAAATCCAACCTTTCATTCCGTGGCGTCCTTCGATCAACCTGAATGGGATTGCCGTATCAAAGGTCCGACATTTCGTGGTCGGTTGCCGAACGTGGCAAAGCTAGCTCACGCCTCAATCAAAGGCGAGCCAATTTACACACCCGTTCCGCCTGGACGCGCCCAACATCGCCGTCTCGATCGTCTTCGCCATCAATTGTTGTCCAAGCCGTTCAAGTTGTTCACCGACACCTCTCGAGTCGGCAGGTCCTTGCCCGCAACGACACCACTACACACAGAATATGCCAAGTGTTTTGCCAAGGTATGCTCCAACGGCCTCGATGTTTTTCGGCTCTCGAGATAACATCCAAAACGATGTAGCTTCAACCGCTCGATTCGAATCCGTTTGCAAGCAAGAAACGTCGCAACAGCATGATCCAGGACGAAGGTGGACGCGTTAGAAGGATGGACGCAAAGCCAGAAGCGGACGACGACGATTGTGTAGACTTTGACGATGGCTACGCCCATGACTACGACTCCATCGACGACAAAGAAGGCCATGATGACATCGACGACGTGCCCACCGTGAAGAAGGCGCCGCAGCCATCCCCGGATGACACCCCTGTCAAAGAAGACGAGGATGGGATTTCCATCTCCAGGCACTTGAACTGGTCCCAAAAGGACGAAAAAGACGGTGACCCCTCCAACCCCACCTCCTACGAAGCGCTGTGCAAACTTCATATTGTACGTACGCGCCATGGTATCGCGGCGTGCGCAGCTCCGTGGGCTCGACGTACTCACTTGAATGCCGTTAGAAACAATTCATGGAAGGCACGGAGGAGTACATGAAGGAGACCAGGACGACCAAGAAGGTGGCGGAATGGCAGCGCAGGCTGACGCCACTGCTCGACGAACAGGTACATGGGTTCCATCGGGTGGCGCGACTGACTGTCTCGATAGAATCGCCGTCCCCCCTTCGACATCAAAGCATCCGGGGACACGATTGTTCACAAATTGGTAACCACACCGACGACGCAAGCGAAGGCCCCGGTCGGGTTCGATTGCATCGTTCAGGATATGTCGAGCTGGGAGATTTGCCGAATCTTTTCCGCCGTCTTGCACTTGGTACGAGTCGTCGCCACGGGTCGGAGCATCAAGTGTATCAACGTAGGCGAATCAAGGGTCGGTGGACCTCGACCACAACGATGACGACGTACATGCTGGAATGGACTCGCTCCGCCTGACGATGCACCAGCCCCCCGACGCGAACAAGAGGTCGACAGCAGGAATGTCCCCACCACGTTCTCGGCGGCAGCGCAAGCGGCCATGATGTCCATGCACATACCCGTTGGATCGTGACGGCGCTGGATGTATATGGTCGATATACATTATATAAAGATATTCACGAGGGTGACGACGAAGAGGAATCGATAAATATACACGAATTGTTATAGGGAGCGGCGATGGCAGACACGGCCCAGGCATGTCGAGAAGGGTTGCAATCGCATGGAACGATCTTCCCGTGTGATGGCGGCAGGTAAATAGGACAGCAGCACAAGCAAACGTTAATCCGTTCGGGCTTTGAGCCACGTGGTGGTGGCTGCCGTCGATTTCCGTGGACATGGAGGTGGTTCCGTGTCCGTCAGGGCATGCAGTTGCTGTTGTTGTTTGGTTTCTTCAAAAAACGTCCGCAGCGCGCCGCTCACGTGCTCGAGATACAAAAAGTTGCTTTGGCAATCGAGCGAGCAATACGAGTTGGCGCACACGCTCGTGGTGACGAGGTACATCTTCTTGCAGTTCTTGCACATGCTCCGACGAGCCATGATGCTTCCTGCTTGCCGCCCCGCGGCGCGGGGTATCGTGGCCACGACACGCGCTTGCCGCATGCGCCGACAAACCAACTCTGCTGCTCGCGGGTTGGTTATGTCGTTCGGGCTCGTGAAATTCGAAACTTGCGACCCACTGTCCCACGTACCCCTTTTTGGCGCCGATTTTTTTTCCACTTGCGACTTGTTCGCACTTGCCGTTTGTATGCAATAGAATGCGACGTGCATATGCCGTTTTAATCAAGCACCAATCACAACGGCGAACGCGACGGGCAATAGGGTCCTCGTGTGGAGGGATCTGCTGGTACTTCGCAGAATAGCATCGTTTCGTAGGTTGACATGACGGACCGTTCGCATTTGATTGGTGAAGGTCGTTCTCCCAGCCCACGGATTGGACACGACCATGCTACATATGGTGGAGGACATGCTGCACTGGATCGTCGTCGCATCGGGTGGCGGCGTTGAACAAAACCAAGTCGTGCTCACACGGAGAGCACGAGAGGGCGGCGGCATGCCGTCGGGGGATGACGAGGAGTGGGGCGGTTGCGTTGCGTGGGGCGTTGCGTTGCCGACGGGTGCAACGCATGGGTGCAAGAATTCGAAACACGGCGTCAGCTGTCGCGTCCCAGTCGTCACCAGGGTTGTTTGAAGACAAGTCGATTGTACCAATGGTACACGTCACGTCCACCTACCTACCTGCCCCCCCCGCCCACGGCTTCCTGGTACATACGTCGTACGCACAAGACGGTTCGGAGAGCGAGCGACTCTGTTCTCGTCGACGCTGCGGTCGGCGTGCAACGCGCGCGGCCATGTTCAGGGAGTCCGGATATTGTATCCGGCAACGAGGCGTTTCGCTGCAGACTGCCGTCGCCAGGTGTCGGTTTCCTGGCGCAAGAAGAGCGCGTCGTGTCGTAGCACGTCGTGCTGTCCGCCTCGACGTAGATGACGGGGCAGGACATTGGTCGTCATGTTGCCGATCCATGCATGTGGGAGGTTGCCAGCGCCTCAAACAGGCGCACATAGACGTGTCGGCGAAGAGGCAGATTCCCCCGAGAACGATCGTGGCCAACCGACAACGACGTGCCATTGGAAGTAGCTCGGTGTGAAGGTGGGGAGGGGAGATTTGAGTCGCACGTCGCAGGATGGCTGAGGCGCGGCCTTGGTACATTCGGGTTCGAAATTCCCGCGACAAATGCGCAACTCGATTCGAAAGTAGCGTTCGCGCAGAGTCCCCGCCAGCGGACGTATTCGGCCCCAGTGCCATGGAGGGTGGTAATAACGTTCCTGCAACCTCGTGGACGATCCCAGAAATTTGCTCACGTCGCAGCACAGCACCTGCAGCGGCCGGCACGCTTCCCTGTAGCTTTTCCCGAATAAAATGCACTTCGTTTGAAGACACGTGAGACATCGATCGCCGCTCTCGTCGGCCGCAGTTGTGCTGAAGGTGTCCCTGGCATTCGGGGCCACACGACAACGCTGTACTAATGGCTGTTCGTTTTGAGAATCGGACATGTGCATTATAGATCACCTTGGTGCGGGGGAAATGGACGAGGGCCACACACCAACGAAACGGTGGCGCCTCCTTCCAATATCCTTGCCCTCCCATCGAAGCAAGCAGAATCCCATGCACCACACCATCAGCCGCGCCTCCCCCCACCGAGACACGACCTCTGCGCAGGTGCCGCCACCACGGGCGACCCAAAGCACCAACTGTGTACTGAATAATGTATATCTCTGGTCGACCAAAGAGGCACATTGTTTTATCTTGGTGAAAGTATGAAGAGTACAAAATATCTTGAAGTTTGTATGAACTCGGATATCACATGAAAGAACGACAGCAATACAACGTCAAAATTCGTTTATTGCGAACCTACTTAGTTTTGGCAATTCACCTCGCGATGGTGAGGTCTCTCAGTGACAAGAGGTGGATTTGAAACAAAGTCAAGTCCGTGATGGTTGCATCATTCCTCCGATGAGGCATCTTGCAATCGTTCCTTTGGGGAATCATGGCTGTCTTGGGAATGCTAATTTGGCCCGCCAAATTACACAATGTCTGGCGGCCGTTGTGAGACCCACCTTTTGCTGGCGAGCTCGAAGTCCTTGGACGGTCGCGCCAAATACGGCATAGTTCATCGGTAATTGTCCAATATCGTATGTCATACATTTGGTGGTACAATATACCCCCAAGGTTTGCGAACTGGTATAAATTAATACCTTGCTCAACTTAATCAATAACTGCATCCAATGGTCTGTTAAAATGAATTCTTGTTTGTTCTTTGTTTCTTTAATTGCCTTCAGAAACGTATATTCTTGAAGTGTTGCAAAACTTGGGGGATCACTGTACTACTAGTAGTGTTATTTAATTTGAGAGGTATAATCATTGAATTTCGACACATAGCTTGGGTCAACAACGTAGCACAACGTGAGAGCTGCGCCCGAGTCCACCACACACGCGTCGCTGTTCGTAAATGGCACTTGAATTGCTCAGCAGTCTCAGGTCCCGTGAGGGATCTTGCCGCTTATGCTCCTTGAAAGGAGCGTAGTGCAGAAGGTAGCACCACGCTTGTTGTTGTTATCCGTGTGGGTGGTGTCCCAGCGAAGCAGCGCTGTACACAGCTGATGGCATGGCTGGACAGGTGTGTGCGCAATGGATGGTGGGTTTCGTACTGGCGGTGAGAGATGCCGAAGAAGACAATGGAGTTGCTCCACCAACACGTATGCAAATGCGACGCCTGGGGCTCATGGTGGACGCATTTGGCCGGTGTGCCACCTCCTCAACGCACGCATTGTGTTGTAGGATTGATTGCACAGAAGTCCCGCTACACTATAGCACGATCGTGGCCGTGGACGAGGCGTTGGCGAATTTGTGGTCTCGGAGTTTGTCGACGAGGGACTGCAGCGGGGCGTTTGCCTTGACTCGAGCCAAGTGGGCATTGTGAGAATGCAGCATGTCTCTGAACCCATCCGGCGCGTCGTCGGCCATGCACTGGGTTAGCGATTCCAAATACTCTTCCGCGTACACCCCTCGCGACAACAACCGCTGGACTGGCGACGCCGCGAGTTTGGCGACAAAACCGTCCCAGTGTTCAAGATCCGACGCGGTGACATTCAGTGCCGCGTGCTCGTCCGTGTTGACGTCGTGGCCATCGATCCACACAGTCAGGCAGTACCGCGGTGCTCGAGCCGGGAGAACGCGATGGAGCACGCGGTCGCTGGAAAACACCACCTACATGCAGCCGCATCAGAACAGCCACTCGCCGACGAATTGCATGCGTACCAAGCGATCCATGCGCGGCGCCACAACGACGGGAGTGGTCAGGAACGGGTAGAATTGGATTTCACCGCCGTCGCCGTTCTGAACTCACCAGCGTTGTCAGCGCGACATTTGTCGAGGGATGGCGACGCACCGTCCAAGAAGGATTGAGATAGAGTAAGCAGGTAAGTCGGCGCTTGTTGGGGCGGCCAGGGTTGTCGTAGTGGCAGGGGAAGCAGCCGCCGTGGCCTTCATTGAACTGCACTTTGAGAGTCTTGCCTTGGGTACCTGGCTGCAGCGGCAAGTTCGTGTGCTGCGCCAGAGCTAGTAGAAGGTCGTCTTGGTGGAAGAGGGCATTGAGTTCAGGCACTTGAGTGCGCACAGCGGCGTTGTGCAGGTCGGCTTCAAAGATGTGTGGTTTCGCGTACTGGGCGACGGCGCCGGGCGTCGTTGTCGACGGAAATTGGGTTTTGTTTGGTTCGAGCAGCTCTTTCTTTACAAGAAATTGCAGCTCGGTCAAGAGAGCGTGGGACCATTCGTTGCCGAGAAAGTTGTCGATGATGGTGAACCCTTGGTCCATCAGGTCAGCACAATGCGTCGCTGTAATCTGCTCGTAGAAGCGGGTAGAGTCTCTCACAAACGGATGCGTGTACTCAATGCCATCGAAGGCTGCGCCGGTCCGGGATGGCTTCATTGTTCCAGATGGACTCGACGCAGGAGCAGCTCGCCGGCAAGCTTTCTTGTGTCCTTGCTTCCACGCCACCACTTGACACTCACGATTGCAGTAAAACACTTCCAGGCAAAGACTGCACCGCATCAGACTGTCGTTGGTTCGGCCGCATTGCCCGCATGCAGGCATGGCGGCGGGATCTGCGTCGGGCGTCGCCATGTTTTGACTGGCATCCGGCATGCCATCGTTCCACATCGGAATAAAAATGCGTGATTATGTAGCAGAGACACAAAACATCCGGATATAACCGGAGATGCCTGTTGAAAAATGAATGCGACTCTGCCACTTGGCCAAGACCTCGACACTACGCTGCTGGCTCCCTTCTCTCGCGTCGCAGAATCGTTGGGCTCGGCATCGTTGGCGGACGTCAGTGGCAGTTCGAGATGGACCACCTCGGCGTGATCTAGCGCATCGATGTTTACACCATGACGACATGAGCACCACCTCGACGAATCGGTCAAGTACACATGCTTGGCAACTTGGTCGCTGGCCGAACGCCACGACAGGTTCACGCGCTCTTCGTAGCCCGCAGCTGAAGACAGCGCATGGTCCTACACTTTCATTATCTATCCTGTGCTTTACGTCCAAGGCAAGGTCGTAGCCTCGTTCGCGTGGAAAACAGATTCCACCGTGGCATGCAGTCCTTCAAGTTGCTTGCTTGGACAGTAATGTCGTATTTCACAGGCTTCTGTTCTTACACACGTTGCGGCGACTGACCCAGCGATCGGTCGCGTTTTTGCTGTCATCACGGGAGGTGATCGCTTGCCATGGCTCGTAGCTAGAGTTCGGGCTCGAACAGTGATCAAGCACAACAGGTGCCAGTGATTTGTACATAGCGTTGAGTGGGTTTGAACCACGACTCGAAATGCAGCAACGAACGGCGATGGCACGACGGTTGAGCGGTCAGGTTGACCTGCTTCTGGCTATTCAGCCAGCACGATTGATCGAATCTGTCGCTGGCGGCCTCGCCATTCATCGTTTGCCTGGATGCCTATTCGATCGAGCCTTGGCTTGCACTCCCGCAGGCTCTACGTCCGCGGGAACGTACGTGGGCTGGAATGAAGGATTCGATTCGACTCTCTGATCTCTGGTGTGGGCCAAACTTCGCGCCAGCGTCGCAAGCGACCTTAGTCTGTGCTTCGCCACTACTGGGTTCGTTTGTCTGCTGAGCTCGTCACCCACGTCGCGGTCTCGTCCTTCGAGGGGGGAGAGCTCGCAAGCACTTCCGCGGTCGGTCGTCCCCTTCGAACCGCGCGATGTTGCATTCTGAGTCGGCTCCAGTTAACCGGATGCCATGACCGGAACAATTGAAATTCTGCATGGACGACACGAACCGCGTCGGTGACGATACCGACCTGGCGCTGTTGGACGAATTCTTGCGGGACGATGGGAGCCTGTGCGAAGAGAACTTCTTGCCGCATGCACAGCCGCCGCCTCCACCAAGCGACGCCGTGATCGCAGCGTCGGTCGACAGGTTGTGGGCCGACTCGGATGAAATGGCGCCACCACCGCCAGCGACATGCAACGATCGTGTCTCAACACCCAAACGCGGGAAACGGAATCGAGTGTATATGAAGGACGAACTCGAGTACCTCCGCGCCAAGCACGACGAACTGGTGGCCCAGGTTGCCGCGATCAAGCAAGCCGCCGTTCCGCGCCAGTCGGTTTGGGCGCGACGGGCGAAAGATCAAGCAGAGGAAGCGCAGCGCGTGCTGCAAGAGAACGCCCGGTTGAAAGAAGCGTTGGACGAACAGCTCAAGATGGTCGACGCGCTCCATCGCATTTTTAGCAAGAAACCCCGCCTCGCCGTATTCCCGTCGTCATCGGGGGACTTTGCAGAATGGAAGGCGGCCACGTTGGGTTCGACCGGCCGCCGCCGCGCTCTACACCGGTTGCTTGATCATCAGTTTGCAGCGATGGAATCGCAGTGGATCCGCAACGACGTGTACGCGGCGACGGCGCTGGCATCGCCGGGTTCGCCCGTGAAAAAGGGTTACGTCCGAAGCGGCACGTTCCTCGTCGTACATTTTGTGCAGTGCTCGACGTGGGACGCGCCATTCACGCGGGTCGGAGACGTTCTCTGGGACATGGTCTCCGTCAAAGTCAAAATCGAGTTTGCCAACCAGTACGTGTCCGAGGTGGGTCCGCGCGATGCGTGCATGCGTGATATCGATGTGTCTGTGCAGAGAGTTGAGGCATTTGACGACGACACAATGTACTCGAGGTACGGCAGCAACAGCGCGTACGTCGTCGTGCTCATGTGGCCGCGCAGGTTCTCGGCCACGTTGCCGCAGCCATACCTGCCCGCCGTGGACGGCCGCCTTGCCTCGAAACGATTTCGCGAGCCCAACCGCGTCGTGATAGTGTATCGATCGATCGTCGAAGACGTGCTGCTACCGCACGACCCGCGGCATCTCCAGGACAACCAGAGTGGATGGTATGCCACGTGTCCGTCGTTACCAATTGTCATGCGTGCGCGTGTCGTTAGGGTGCTTATCGAACCGTGGGGAGACAACCGCACGAAGCTATCGATCTTGACGTGCCAGACGCCGCCACTTGCGCCGTCGCTGTCGATTGAAGCCGGCGCCATGTCGGAATACATGCTCGGGATGTTTGCACAAAACACCATCATGTTTGACAATGCGATTGCTGCAGCGCTCGCCCGCCGCCCGCCACTGGCTGCGACGTCGTAAACACAGCTCTCGGTAGCATGCGCCGTGTGTGCCGTGGCAAGTTGATGCATTGTCAGGACTCTGTAACTGAATGCACGTACTCGTCGTTACACGTTCAACGGCCACCGTTTTCGCGGCGGCCATGTCGGCGGCGTTCAGCACGCGATTCCTTGCATCGGATGGCATACCGGCGTACAATGCTCTGTTGGACCAGCACCTGGGGCACCATCGCACGTACTTGCTGGGGTCCAAGGCATCGCTCAAGCTCTTGCAAACCACGGGGGCAATTGCCAAGGTCGAGCCGGGCAAGTCGGCCGACCAGTACGTTGTGTATGTAGAGGAGCCGAGTGCACCACCGTGTGTACGAAAACCACGAGTGGCGAGATCGTCATCCGACGACTCGTCCACGCGGCCATGCGACAAACGGACGCGCAAGCCCATGGCTGCCAGTCCAGACAGCGGCACGGCGCCGACGACGACTAGCGAGACCAACCGGCCCCGGCTGCGTCATTCCGCCAGCGACGTCTTCGTTGCCCCGCACAAGAAGAAAGACCACAAGTTGAAGAAAGCGACGGAAATCGAACCGATGGCCATGCGACCACAGGTCAAACCTGGCAGCCCGTTCAAGAAAGCAGCGTCGGAACCGGCGACCAAACCGTCCTGGACAGATCCGACCGCAGCAAGTCTCGTCAAGGACGAGCACCCGCAACGGGGCGTGCACAAGCCAGTCGTGAATCACTTGCTCGAGAGCGACGTGGCGTACCGCGAAAAGATTACCAGGTTCAAAGCACAGCTGGCTGCCATGGCCACAGAGAAAGCCGAGGTCCAAGTGTACGCCCTGTGATGTTCTTGTGCCGACGACGTGTGTTGATGGGTGGTTGTCTAGTGAGATCGCGCGGCTGCGGAAGGACCTGCGCGGTGTCAATGCCGTGCACGAAAACGACATGGCGGTGGCGCACTGCAACGCCGTCATGCAGCATCGGCTTGGCAAGGCCCAGGACGAGTACATGAAGGTGTTGACGCAGCAAGCCGCGATTCGCACCACGATCGACGCCGCGCGGTTGGAGCTGGTGACCCGGACGTTCCGATGGCGTCGCACATGACAGAAACGCTTTGTAGCTTGCGCTGGCCCAAGTGCGACGAAAACTGGAAGGCGATCTCAACGACACGAATGCAAAAATCGACGCGGCCGAGGCGCGGATTGAAGCGACAAAGGCCATCCAAAAGAGCACGTTCGGGGAGCTCACCAACTTGGAGCGCCAGGCCGAAGCCGACGCCGTGGATCGAATCGTCAAAGTCGGCAAAACGAACGACGAAAGCGTGGCTGACTATCGTGTCGTGGAGTAGCTGCCACCCGAAAGCGATGTCGTCAACATGGATGTGTCGAATTTGATGGCATCGATCCACGATCGCGCGCTCAGCCGCAAGCAAGAGCTCGCCGCCCGACACAACGCGGCGGCAGAGGTAGGACAAGCCCCGAGCCGTTGCCGTGGGCTGCGGTGGCTGGCACTGGTTGCATTGAACGGTTGCGTCGACCTGTAGCAGCGCACAAGCGCATCGATCGCCACGGATGGGTCGTTGGGGCCGTTGGACGCGACGTTTACGGTGAGCAGCCAGGAGGGAGCAGGGTCCCAGGACCATGGGCGACGTGGTTGTTTCGGATAGATGGCATTTGCATCGATTCAAGACGCGGTGCATGCGCCGTCGGTCGACGAGTTCGTCACGTCGTTTGTGGATACGGAGAACCAGGTACACTTCCCTGCCACCGATTCCATGGCATGTCGCATGTGTCGACGATTGTGTGGCTGGGATGGATTTGGTGCACACTACTTACAGATGCGTGTAGCTCCTATCGATGTACCAGCATCACTTGGATCAGCTCGCCGAGACGAAGAAAGCGAAAGCCGAGCTCGAGGCGCTGCTCAGCCAAGCGCGGACGGTGCGCCACCGCGTGCGGCAGCAGCAAGAAGACGTCCACGCGAGGAAAGCGCAGCTCATGGACCGCATTGCCCACGTCAAGCACATGACGCAAGAGTGCGTTCTCCATGAAGTGGTGCTGCCACAGGATGGTGACGCCTGGGGTTTTTTCATGCGTAGATACATTACGTTGCAACGGCGACAAGCCGTCGAGCACGACGCGCTGCGAGGGCCGATTCTGCATCTCCTGGACGTCCTCAAGGCGGACAAGCACTTCTTACACACGAATGGGTTCCTCAACACGGCGCAGGACATGCCGCTTCCGCACATTTTAGGTACGTGCTCGATCGGAAAGTGTGGGAAAAGTGTTGTGGGCGGGGTTGCTGCCTGCCGCGCCGCCAGTCGAAAGCTGCATGAGTGTTGTCTTGTTGACGGAACTTGAGCCCACTGCTGCATGGAGCTGTCCATCTCAGCGGTGCACTGTCCAGGCATTGCCCAAGAGCGCATCGTCGAGTTTGCCATCTTGTCCCAAGTCCACAACAAACAACTCCACGCCGCAAACGTCAAGGTCCAAGCCATGGAGCGCTTCAACCGGCGCACGCGCCAGTCGACGCCAGAAAGTCCACCTGCATCCGCTGTCCCAGCGGTACGTGCCCAACAGCGTTCCTGCAATGACACTTCTGTTGTGACGGACTCGTTTGAAATGCAGCCGACCGCCGCGGCGACCATCGTTGTGGGCCCGCGGGTGCCCAGCGCATCGACCGTCGGCAACGTCTCGGCTCAAACGTCCATGGGCCCCACACCACGAGCCGCAGAGCCAACCCATGCAGTCCTGCCGCGATCATTCGAAGACTTGGCCAACAACACGACGTTGCCGAGCGTGCTCTCGACCGAAAGCAGCTTGGACAGTGTCGTGCCGCTGTCGTCGTTCCAGCTCTTCCAACGAGCGCTGCGGTCTAGTGTTCAGGGACGTCACCCTTCAGCTAACGAGTGACTCTTTTGCCGCCGTGCTACTAGAACTGCCCATCAACACTTGCACAGCGCGCGGACGCGTCTATCTCGAGCACGAGGCTGCCTTTTCACGGACACATGCTGTTGGTTTATAAGGTCGCAGCGACTGCGGCTACGCCGTGACTTTTAACGAGTTGGGTGGAGATGACGGGAAGGGACGCCTTGGCGCTGGCCGTGTGAGCGACGGAGTATGGGATGGCGGCAGAGTGCTCTTTGTCGGCGAGGACGACGCGAAGGGGGGTTTGAAAGGAGGTTGCATGGCGCGCCACTTTTCGCAGAGACGGTTGGCGTACCGCGACACGGAAAAGTACCGCGCGTACGAGGCGGCGTCGGCGGCAGGGTAGATGCGCTCGAAGTGGCCGACGCGGTCCGCTTCGTCCTCCATGGACAAGACAATATTCCAGTCGTCGTCGCGGAAGAGTGCGAGGTGGGCTGGCGTGAGTGCACGGATGTTGGGATCGTGGAGGACTTCGACGAGCTGTTTTCGAGCGACGAGAGGGGCGACTGTCGCTGCCTTTGACGCTCCAGCAGGTTTCTTTGTGGGGGTGCTGCCACTTGTGGCGGAGAGATTCAAGTTGGCAAGGGGTTTTGGTATGTTCCGAGAGAGGGGCGGGACGTGTGGCGCGGCCGCCATCGAGACGGGATGGCCGACGAGGTGAAAAATGTCCGACATGAGCAAGCCCTTGATGCGCTTGTCGAGCGGCGACGAGCCCATGAGTGACGGCGACACGTTTACTTCGATCAGCCATGGTTCCAGCGCCGAGTCAATCATCATGTCAAATCCAAACAGCTCGTAGCACACGTTGCGATGCCTGACAAATGCTTGCGTGAGTGGCGTGATGTGCGCCTCGGCCGCGATGATGGTTTTGCAAATGATGGCCTTCATCTTGGCGCGGAGACCGTCGACGTCGTGGCCTTGGTCCTACCAAGCACGACTGGTGTCAGTGGGGATGTCGTGGTGCGAAGATCCATCGGCAGAGGCATGATTCGAACGCACCGCCAGATACGCCATGAGCGCCGTCCAGCTCCACTTGCTTCCGTCCGTGTCGGTGGTGGACGTCGATGCTTTGAACGCTGCATTCGCCTTGTTGACGCTGAAATTCGTCAAATGCGCAAGGCGGTTCTTCAGATGCGATGTCGAGTACTTGACCGTGCAAAATCGAGCAAGACCTTCTTGGAACAAGTAAATGCGGAGCGGGTCAAAGCTCGTGACGACGACGTAAATTCGCAGGTCGAACTTGAATCCATGGATCAGGTACGGCGATGCCAGGTACCGCTGGACGACGAGCTTTTTGGTCTTCTTGAGGGTGTCCACCTAGCTGGCAGGTCATGAAACAAGTACGAGAGGGTGAAGGTCGTCGATGGAGCGTACTTGGGATGCTTGAATGACCTTGATGCCTCGCCCGCATGCAGACGCGGGTGGCTTGACGATCCAAAGCGATTGCGACAGCGACATGGCGTCGCGGTCGAGGCATCGCAGAAACACGTCCCGCTGGGATGGCAAGACGTACCCCTCTGGAACGAAACCATAGTCGGCACCGAACTTGCGCTTCATGGCGACCAATGTTTTCATGAGTCGGTCTTTGCGACCGATCACCCACGGGTCGGGAAAGTGGTTGATGCGTTGATGCGGCTGGAGCGTCTTGAACTTACTCCGAGACATGTGCTTGGTCCATGCAGCTGTCCACTTCTTCCCTTTCGTGATGCGGACGAGCCCTGCTCGGAAGAACGCGTTCTTGATGCAGTTGCGCTCCCAGTAGGACTTGAAGAACACAGTTGAACTTGTCGACGCGTCGATCTCTTCCACAACGATTCCGGCATCGTACGTCCGAGTTACATGGAGGTCCAGAGGATAGTCAAAGCAGACTACGGGGGGCCGGTTGGGGTACCGGCTATGCATCACTTTCATGCGTGCCGGTCTCACAATCGCGTGACTTTCTGGAGACATGGCATCGTCGTCGTCGTCGTCTTCCTCCTCCTCATCTTCGTTAGTGGCGCCCTCTATCTCTTCATCGTCTTCGTTCGCGCTAAAGTCTCCACCAATCGAGTCTGCATCGTCATCGCTGTCGTCGTCGGCTGCGGCGGGATCAGCCGTTTCCGTGTTTTCTCCTGTCCCTCGCCCAAGGCTCGAACGAAGTGTGTTGGGATTGGTTGCATGCACGAAGCCACATGTTCCTCCTGCATCGTTGCTTCCCTTCAGCCTCGAGTGCTCCAAGCGTTCTCTCAGCCCCAGGCGCGACTCCATCTAGCGCCGCTTCTTCCCGCCGAAGGCCCGCGTCAGCGTTACAAAAAGCAGTTTCACATGTGGACTCAATATCCGGGCTTTTATGCGGTATCCGTATAAAAAACCATCCGTTCGGATAACGAACTTCTTGCTCAAATCCGGATACACACTTGAAATTTATCAGTATATCGAAGCCGTGTTTTCATTGGTCAGAATCTTTCGGAGGTCACCGTTCTCCGAGCTGCCGCCGCCGACCGCCGGACGAAATCATGGGGTTCAGCTTTCTTCCTGCGCCGACACGGACGTACGAGGCTCCCGTGGCCCCAAAACCGCGTGCCGAACCCTTGGCACCCGCTCCATCAGCCCCAGCGCCTTCCGCAGTGAAGAAGTTCCAGGCAACTCCTCGCCCACCTCAACAAATCCCAGCGTACCCTCACCGCACGAAGAAGCAATTTTCACCGCGCGATCCTGAGACCGACTTTGGCGACGGGGGGGCATACCCTGAGATTCACATATCCCAGTTTCCATTGGGTCTGGGGAAGAAAGGTGGTGAGGAATCGAATGTGTTGGCGCTGCAAGTGAACGAGAGTGGCCGCGCCGCGTACGACGCGATCGTAAAGAAGAAGAACCAAATTGTATACAGCAGCTTCACGGACCTGGTCGAAAAGGATGTTGAACAAGGGGCATTGGAGAAGCCGACTGTCGAAGAAGAGCAGGAAGTTGCAGAGAAAACCCGCGCCGCGTTAGAAGCCCTCGTGACCGGAAAGATTGCTGCTGCGCACCCCGTCAACGTGGACCGGCAAAAGTCGGTCAAGGAAACGTCGACGTACATTCGATACACGCCACACGATCAGGGGTTGAATGCAGACAGCGAAGTGCCAAAGCAGCGGATCATTCGCATGGTCGAGGCGCCAGTGGACCCGATGCAGCCAGCAAAATTCAAGCACAAAAAGGCAGTTCGAGGACCACCTTCACCGCCCGTTCCCGTCATGCACTCGCCTCCGCGCAAGCTGACAGTGGCAGACCAACAAGCGTGGAAGATTCCGCCGTGTGTGTCCAACTGGAAGAACGCTAAGGGGTACACGATCGCGTTGGACAAGCGTCTGGCCGCCGATGGGCGTGGGCTGATGAAGGTAACCGTGAACGACCAGTTTGCGTCGTTTGCGGAAGCGTTAGCGATTGCCGAGCGCAAGGCGCGGGAAGAAGTCAACATGCGCATCCAGGTGCAGAAGCGCTTGGACGCCAAGCAAAAAGAGGCGAAGGAGCTTGAATTGCGTGAAATCGCAGCCAAGGCCCGGCAAGAGCGCGGCGGTGTCAGCCATTACGGCGGTGGCCATGGCTCGGACGGCAGCAGTGACGACGAAGACGAGGAAGGCCGTCGCGAACGCGACAAGATGCGCTTTGAACGTCGCCGGGAACGCGAGCGCGAAATGCGTCTCGAGAATCTCATGGGGAAGAAAGGCAAACTCGCTCGCGACGAAGACCGTGACGTGTCGGAGAAGATTGCGCTGGGGCAGCTTCAGGGCGGCGGCAAGCGCAGCGACGCGTCGCTGTTCGACTCGCGCTTGTTCAACCAGTCGCAAGGCATGGATAGCGGCTTTGGCGGCGAAGACGACTACAACGTGTACAGCAAGCCCATGGTAGATCGAGGCAAGTCGACGGTGTACCGGCCCAAGGTTGACTCGACCAACATCGACGGCGACCGAGACTACGACGACCTGAAGGCCGGCAGCACGAAGCGATTCCGCGCCGACAAAGAGTTTCAGGGCACGGACCATGCGGCAGCGCGCACGGGGCCGGTTCAGTTTACCTATGACAACCAGACCAACACGGACGATAAACCGGCCGCAAGGGACCGATCCGAGTCTCGTCCTCGCCGAAGAAGTCGTTCGATCGAACGCCGACGGGATGATGACCGTCGCCGCCGGTCACGATCCAACGATCGGTCGCACAAACGCCCTCGGGACAGCAGCAGATCGCGCTCCCCTGACTCCCGGCGGCGCCAGCGACGACATGACGACGGCGATGATGACCCCTTTGGCGTCGATCGCTTCCTCGATGATGCCCGCCGTGAAGATTCTTCCCGCCGTCAGCGCCGTTAGCTGTGGGGAAGGATGGCGTCCCTCTTGTGAGGGCATACACTTTCACAACGAAACAAAAATATTTCTATTTCCCGTCTGTTATTTATCTTTCTCGATGGAAGTGAAATGTGCGAGTCTTTGATGCCCAATGCATGTTTTATTCACCTGGGGAAAATACAACATGCATTGGGCATCAAAGACGAAAGCATATGCCAGATCGTC